AAACAATCTCCCTTTGCTAATAAAATGTTCCAAACTATAAAAGCAAGAATGGAAAAAAGATGATGTGAAGAAATTTCTGGTGTTTTAAAATACCTTCAACATCCAAAATATGATGCTGTGAATGATGAAACAAATGTCTGCAAAATTTTTGGAGTTCCTCCTAAAACCCTTATTAGGAAGTAGATAAAAAAAACTTATTGAGAGACTAGCTGCTTTTAAAAATGATAATTTAGAAAAATCAAGTATTGATGTTGATGAAAATATAATGGCTGTCGTTAGAAATGAAGAATCACAAGTTCGAGTCTCCCTGTCTTTAAGAAAAAAGTTACAAGAACAAATTGCACAAAGCATGAAAGCCATTGAACCAGAAACACAAACTTCAAATTTAATGTCAATCATAAAGAAAGAAATGCATCTATTTGAAAATGGTGGAAACCGGGGGCATAATTTGGAATTAGTATACCAATATTTGTTATCTATTCCACCGACGAGCATCGAACCTGAGCGGGCATTTTCTGCAGCTGGGTATTTGGGAAGTAAAATAAGGAGTAGGCTAAATGACCAAACCTTAAATGCTCTACTATTGCTGCAGGCATATTTTCAGACAAAAAAAGAAAGTTTGTAAATAAAATATGCATTTAATATGAATTGTTTTTTTGTTTTACATTTATTATTTAGCTACCATTAATTTATAAATATAAAATAAAGATTTTCTTTAATTTTTGTCTCTCAATACTAACAAACAACTTATTATGTTATTTTTTACAAAGTAGCTTGTTGCTACAGCAGCTACATCGGTACCCAAATTTAAGAAAATTTATGTTTACAAACTTATTTTGAAATTTTGATTGTTTAGTTACTTTAGTCAAATACACTTTAAATGTTCAAATGTTATATACATATCCAATTATTTGATGAAGGTTATTCTGTAAAGTCTGTAATCTTAAAACATAATATGGAAGGTACCGTATATATATTTCTGCATTATTTTAAGATCTTTATATACACCTGCTGCCTGTTACACAATTAAAACAATTTAAAGCGCCGTACAAAATTAATGTAAGTCATTAAAACATAATGAAATTAAATAAAGAATTGATAACATCAAAAAGTATATTCATATATGCAGTATTAAGTTCTGTTTTTTAGCAAATAACTCACATTATATAAAATCCCGGGATACCGGGATCCCAGGATTTTATTTACTTCAATCCCGAAATCCCGGGATCGTAATTCATGCCCGGGATTGCAATCCCTACTCATCACGCTTTCAAAATATAGTGTTAAGTTATAGTCGGTTTTTTAAGAAATATAGTTGGCTAGTCGGGTATTTGACACATTTACGTCGGGTATATTTTAGAATTGAAGACCCTTTTTTATTTTGAGGAACCAGTCATTTTAAAGGATTTCATCCACTCTCCTCATTTTATTCGTAGAATCACTCTTCAGCATGTGATAACTTACCGCAAAATATTGACAAAATTTATTGGTTATAGATTCCGCTATGTTATGGAAGGCTTTTAAAGAGTGGATTTGTTAAAAATGTAGAAAGTAATTTTTCACCTCACAAGTTGAAAAACTGTTCTTTTAGTTAATCGGACTGTTTTTCAATAAAGTGGACTGAAAAATAGAGTTAACGCAAAAAATTATTTTTGTGATATAGTGCGTTATACAGATTGGCTGCTCGAATAGTGTATGATTAATTAACAATTCGAGTAGAATTGCCACTCTTGCGTTTCCAAAAGTTTTCAGACAGGTTATGATCTTATAGTGATTAAATTTTACTCCACAAAAAAAAATAACAAAAATACTTAAGCCCATACTCCTCACAACAATGTGGTCGTCTAATTCACTATACATTCTTCGCTATACAGTAGTCTCTCGCTTAATTGCACACCCAATTAGTTGCGCATCCCAATTAATGGCGCGTTAAGGCCCAAAATATTTGTGTTTCAGTTAAGTTAAAAACTAGTTTTTATCATAATTATTTTGAGATAATGATTTTATCAGAATGTAAATAAATAAATAATTCGAATTCGAATCGAATAAATATAAATAAATACTCGGTGACTTAAAGAAATTAAAGCGATACAAATATCTATATCTCTCAGACATATTGTCATATTACAGCCTCGATGTAAATATAAAGGAATGTCTGAAAGATTAATCATGCAAAATTCTCAGGGGCAATGGAATCAGCTGGTGCTGTTGACATTTTTGCCCGATCGTTACAAAATTATGGCCTTATTTATAAAGAATACTTGGGAGTTGGAGACACCAGTTCATTTAATAATGTTCTAAAATCTTATCCATATAAAGATCATAATGTAACCCCAATCAAGCTCGAGTGTATTGGTCACAAGCGCCTTGGGACTCGTTTGCGCAGTCTTGTCAAATCTTATAAAAACACTAAAACACGTTTATCTGGTAAGGACAAACTTACCAAAAAGTGAATTGACTCTATGCAAAATTATTATGGCCTGGCCATTCGTAATAATATTGGAAATTTGTATGCCATGAAGAAGGCAATATTATCAATACTTTTTTCATTTCATTGACCTACCAGATCCTTTTGATTGTCATAAATTATGCCCAAGAGATGCTGGATGTTGGTGCAAGTATTGGTCGAAAGCAAATAAGACATATAGGTCACAAAATTTAATTCCTCTGTGGATAAAAAATCTCATCTTTCCAACTTTTAAAGCTTTAATGAAAGATGAACTATTGGAAAAGTGTATGCATGGCAAAACACAAAATGCAAACGAGGATTTGAATGCAATATGATCTCGTGCACCAAAGTTTACATTTGTTAGAAAAGAAACCATAGAAATGGGTACCTATTCAGCTGTAATACATTTTAACAATGGCAGAAATGGATCCTTGGCATATTAGAATATTTTGGATTCTAGTATGCCAAGGAACTCAATATATCACGCGTAAAACGCATGACAAAAAAGCTACTGACAATGTAAAAAGGCGAAGAAAATCTATCAGAGCGAAGCAAAAGGGTTACTGTGACATTTTAAAAGAAAAAGAACCTATAGACTCTTAACGCTACAGGAAATTATTAGGATTTAAAAAAATTTATTTGTTGAGATTTCTACTTTTTAAACTTTCTTTTGTATTATTTTTGATTAATATTTATTCGTATTTTTTTTATAATTATTAGAGAAAAAAAAGAAATTATTTTTTTAAATAATTGAATTTATTATTAAATGGCATCAGTGAAGTTTACAAATTTAGTTTTATGTATAATTCTAACTATAATTCTTATTCATTTAATTCTAACTAAGAATCCTAAGAATAAGAACCCAATGCTGTATGCTAGAAAATTAATAATTTGTGCTGTTTACCATTCATAACAGCATGGTAAACAGCAGCAATCATGTCTATCTACAATTTTATACTTTATATTTTTTAAGCAAGATACCAATTTGTACAAATGCTGCATGAACTATTAACTGAGTGCTGTAAGTACACAAAAACTCAGGGGCTTCTTCTAGACTTATATTATACTTAATTGCTATTATTGCATAAATTATATAATTAAAATATTTTAAAGTGTCACTTATATTTGTATAAAAACCCAGGTCTGAATTATAGTTATTTATAATAACTTTTAAAACAAATAAAAAGTAAATAATCATTTCTTATAACTTAAAGGATAATCGCTCAGTCTTGTTTTCCATTTCTTGACATGGCATATAATTATACCATTAGTCTTAAAAAGATTAATTGGTACGCAAATAATCTTTCATAGTCTAAAAACTGATTTCATTAGATATTTGGTAGCAGTTTAATCTGTAAACTAAGAAGAAAAAGAAAGTTCACTATAAAATCATTTAACATATAAACTCAGTCAAAACCATCTAACAAGCTCTTTATTGTGCTGTGAGATCTTATTTAGCTAAGAGATCTGCAAGAATGTTTAACAGCAATATCAAATGCCAACAACTCACAGACACATATAAACAACTCTTGATGTGAAGTAGCGTTCAATGTTCAAATGGAAACTGCAGCATCAGAGATCAAATTCATATTTTAAAAGCTTTAGATTCTTTTTTCTTGTGTTCACTCCACTACTAAAACATCTGACTAAAATTGAATTAATAAGAAAGTATGATTTGTTGGAGAGTAAACCAACTAATAGTGACCACGATTATGCAGATATTCCGTATTGCAGCATTCAAAAAAGGATTGATCTTATATTGTCAGATACGTAGCTATAATGACATTAAAATAAAGTTATCTGTATTATATATATATATATAAATAAATAAAGCTAAAATGACATTAAAATAAAGTTATCTGTATTAAATATATATATATGAAATATTGCGTAAAAAAAAATTTGCCGTATACGCTATCCAGTTATATTTTGAGATCAGTGTATTTGAAAATGTATTTGCTTTCAAATTCTCCAGATAAGTTCACAACATACATGCACTCCATTTAACCGTCAGAATTTCTGAATCACTCTAATTATCGATTAATAGACCTAACCGTTTAAAGCTTACCACAAAACTATTGATAATCAAAGATTCATACAAAAAGTTGATAACTTTTTTAATATTTCGATTTAAATAAAATCTGACTGTTAAATGGAGTATCTGGGTTACTGAAAAATGTTCTAAAGTTTAATAGAAAATCGATAAAAACAAACTGACTTAGAGCATTTTGAAATGAAATCAAGTATGCTGATTTTATGACACTTTTTCCCCCATTATGAATCAACCAAAAGTAATTTTTTTTTAAATCATCCTAGTTATCTCTAATAAACATTATAAACGCTTAAATGTTAAATTTCTTTTTATTTCTTAAAATCACCATTTTTTATTGGGCTACTACCTTAAACTTTCACAATACTGATATATTAAAGACTCCCCTTAACTGAGATAAGAGTAAAAGCCATCACCATATAGGCATTATATAAATACTATAACAGTAAGACAAGAGGTCAATTTAGGTTTGACACGAATTGGAATAAAAACAAAACAAAATAGGGCAATGAAAGATTGTTACAAACTAGTAAAAATACCGGTAATTGTTCAAACCGGTTTTATAATTTACAGATAAATCTACATCACTATTCGACTATATTACAAAAAACAAATTTCGTCTGAGTCGTAGGATAAGATAACTCTCTAAAAAAATAATTCAACCGTTAATTTTCTTTATAAATTCATTAAAATGAGAGTTTATAACATTTGACTTCATTAGCTTTGTATATAATTTTCGTGCACAATTATAACAAAAGCAAAATAATAACATTTGTTCGTCATCGAGAGTTATATATGATAGTTCTAAATGATATACAAAGAGAAATTTTGCACATTTTTACTATGAAAAACACACAAAACGACATCGCGTACTGCAAAGACTGCTGCTTCAACAAAACGAAAAGAATTATTCTTTTTTAGGAGTCTTGTTTTCTATAACATGATTTTCGGGTTCTGAGGCAGTTCTTTTCGTCCCACGTTTTGATTTTAAAGGTTCAACTCCCAAAACTTTATAAAGTTGACAAAAAGCCACAAGTCGAAGTGCATGCTAAACAAATTAAACAAAAAATTTTAACTTAATTATCTTATGTGAAAGTAAAAACTTTCGAATATTTACATTCGAAATAAAACAGAATTAAAGTTTTCTATAATATTAGTCCACTTAATTGCTTAGAGAACAAAAGTAGTTAAAACCTGAGCAGCAGCTGTTATATCTTCTCTTTCTTGTGGCTCCATATTTTGTATAGCATCTACTTTAGCTTTTTCGCAAGGATCAAGTAAGCCTGGACCACCTTTAATAAGAGAACTTAACAATACAAAGTGTTCACTCTAATATATCAATATACACTTAAATCAAAACATTTTAAAAACGGTTTCCCTTTAATTAGATATTTATGCGCGCGCAACATATTTCTATATAGATGTAACACTTAGTGTTATAATAAGTTGTTTAATACTTAAATACACTTAATGTATATAAGTATTAAACAACCTAATTACCAAGATAAAGATCAACTAAAATCTAAATTAAGTATATATGGTATCTTAACTTAACGAAAATCCAGTACACATATCTTTTTAGAAAAAAGGCCGGAAAGCTTTAGCTATAATTTCTTAAGGAATGTTATTTAGAAAAATATAAATTTATAGATTAAGTTTGTTAAATAAAAAATACGTACCAGGTAAAAAGATACCACATGCTATAACTTCCAGAACTCTTCTAAGAGCTTCTCCAGGACCAACAGGTTGAAAGTAACTAGAAATGGCTTTCTCACACAACAATTCAACTGCCCAAGAACTCAACGGTTTGAATGCCGGAACACGAGAACACACATCTTTAAGTATACGAATGACAACAACGCACGAAGCCAATTGATTTGCACGCGCCTAAAATGTGTTTTTATTTACAACTAATAATTTACGACTACTCAACACCACAATAAAGAAACATGAGACCATAAAAACAATTAGCTTTAACCTTTTAAAAAAATAAAATTTTATTTTGTAAACACAAACATTTATTTAATGCATCAAGAAAAAAAAAAATTTAACATAGATGACATTTAATGCTTACAAAAATACTTAAATTTAAAATGCAATTTAGAGGAGAGATTTCGACACTTAACAATTAAATTGAATTTAATAATTTAAAAAAAAAAAAAGAAAAGAAAAAAAGTTTACTCTAACGCTTTAAAACTTTTAAATTTTTTTGTTTAAAATTTGTTATACATTTAAAAACACCAACAAACCCCAAAAAACTTAATGCAATGTCATCTTTGCATAAAATGATATTTTGAAAGTTATTCCTAATAAAACCTCAAATGTTTTTAAGTTTAACTAGCTGGCCAAATCATAAACATTAAATTTAATAAGAAAACATATTTAAACTTCTACAATATACCTATTGCCACTAGTAAAATTAACCAATAAATTTATTGTGGATTATTTCACCTCATAGGTTTACAAAGGCTTTTCTCCACATTAACAGTTTTCATTCTGAAAGTAACTTAAAAAAATCTACAAAGTTTTTCTTGGTTGAATAGAAAGGAGGAACGCCTTTGTTAGCAATTGTTTTCTTTGGGCAAAACTATATTTTTTAAATGTCTCTTTTATGAATAAATTTCTTAGATTGATTGAGATGCTTTATTTAAAAAACACACACACACAACAAAATATTATAAACATATAAAAATAGCAAACAAATAAAGTATAAAGCAAAACAATTAACATCTTTATAAAAAAGAACAAATTTAGTTTTGCCAAACAATATTTGAACGAAGGAGGTGAAAATCGAACCTGAAACCATTTAGCATGCCGAAGAGCGGCTAAAGCTTGTAGACATTTCTCTCTGTCCAAAACATCTTTGGGATCTTCAGGAACAGACTCTGTTAATCAAACAAGTAGTGAGAGGATTTAACAGCATATTAAAGCACATACGCTCGGGACATATAACAAAATAAAAAAAACCTCATTTCAGCGCAAATAGAAAATTAAAAATTTCAAAAATTTTTAAAAACTCTTTGATAAGAATATTAAAACACTTCAAAATTAAAAAGAAATGATAACAAAATAAATGCAGTCCCATTGAGCAAAGGTGCACTGTTAGAATTTCCTCACTAAACTACTCTCTTCAGTGCATATCTTGTTCTCCCATACGAATGTGATATTCACATGAAAAAGATTACATCATTAGTTATAATTTGTTTAAAGAAAATAAATAAATAAAATTCACCCTTAATGGTTGATGAGAAAAAAAATGGGTTTAATGACTATAGTAAAAAACTTTTCGTAGTAAATAATTTACTTTTAAAAAATCTTAAGATGATGAGATGACACTTAGAACAATATGTATATACTTAACTTTTATCACCGTAATTTTCATAATCTTCTGTTTTGACCAAATTTCAGCAACTAAAGACATACCTTTTTTTTCTGCAATAACAGTGCTTGGAACTTCCTTCTTAACTTCTTCTTCTTCCTCTCTTACCATTGGAGATGTAAGCACAATTTTTACAGATGCTATAGGTTCTGTTGTTGAAGTCACTATAACTGCGCAATCAGCTACACTGATAACCATATTATACTTTTCATCGGGAGAAACTTCCTAAAAATACATACAAACTTGAGTGCCTTCCATTTAACATACCAAATATAAAAAAAAACTTTAAAATCTAAGAAGTAAAATTGAAACCTTAAGTTTGTCTGGAATCATTCTTCCCACACGCTTAAGCAGCGTAACAGTAGGTTTATCTGTTTTATGGAAATAATTGTATGTAAGTAAAAACATTGTGACAAACTAAGGAGCATTAGTAAAAATAGAAATAAACAAGACTGCAAATTGAGATATCTGGAAATGTGTCTGGTTTTTAAATTTTTATTTTTTAAAAATCATTAAAATCACTTTATCATAAAATTTAACAGTTGTTATTTAAAAATGATAAATATTGAAATTATAATAAATAATGTCATTACAAAACCACATTACTGTTATTACTTAATACATTTTAAAAATCATAAGATAAAACTAGAAGAATAAAGCATACACTACAATGTAATATCAAAAGTTAAAAATAAAAAATTTAATAATTTAGTGAATTTAGCGGTAATCAAATATTTTTAATTAAAAAAATCCGGACTACTTATTTAAACCTTATTTAAACTTTCTTTTTACTTAAAATAATTGTATCAACTGGCATTTACATAAGCAATATATTAAATTATGTAGGTTTTGAATGTTATTTTTGCAGTCATAAATCTATTGTCTAAATTTTTCATAAATATTTCCAATGTGATGAAATGACCCATTAAAACATTGTGACTTATAAAGACAAGAAATATTTCCAGACATTGCGATTTGCAATTACTTAATTCATCCTTTGATAAATACAAAAACTGTTTTTTTTAAATAAAAATTATTAATACTGTGTGTGTGTGTGAGTGTGTGTGTGTATATATATATATATATATATATATATATATATATATATATATATATATATATATATATATATATATATATATATATATAAGTAATACAAGTAAATAAAGATATAAAAGTAATATGAAAATAAATATAAATACTTACTTAGACATAAAACAACAAGCTCTACATTAAGTTGATTTCGAAGTAATAATCCTTTTGCAAGAGCACCAACTCTCATGACACCTTTCAATTGACGAAATTGAGTACTTTCTGATTTCATCAATGGTTTAGGATCAGTACCAGTTGTTTCTGTTACTTCTTGTTTAACCTCAGCAACAGGTTTAGCAGCACTTTCCTTTTGATCTTCTTCTATAATGAAGAAATAATATGAAAATTATACAAGTATTTGAAAAGTTTTTTTTTTTAATATTTTGAATATGAAATACCCTTAAATAACCATAACAAAAACATGATTTCCTACTCATAGTTTACTTGTGGTTTGCGAATATATTTTATTCAATTTTGAAAATTAAATTTCTTATTTAATTGCTTTATTTATTGCTCAATGCAATTTTTAAGGAAAAACAATGTTTAAAATTTAATCAAATGGGATTGGCTAAGTGCAACTGATTTGTAAATTAATTCTTTAAGTTAAACGTCTATGATGATACACACATTTAAGTATTTGCATTTAATCTACACTGACTTAATCTAAACTGAATGCCGATTTTTATAAGTTCATAGATGAGTATTTGACTTTATGAAAATCTCAGAAAATTATTATATTAAAAATTGATCCTATTGACAGACAACAAAAATGTTTGTAAACTTTTTATATGGAATTTAGATTACTTAACTTTTTACAAAAAGGAATTTCTAATATATGAAAAAGTTAATTTGAATGAATTGATAACAAATAAATAAAAAAAAAAATTGTTACGAATATTGATCTCGTGAAAATTTTAATAATATAAAACATTTGTTTAAATGCAAAAGTTGTTGTATTTAAATTTTTATGTATAAATATAATTTTTTTTTCAAATTAATAGCAAAAAACATCCAAAAATGTCTGGAAATTTAAAGGAATTTTCAAGTGAATTTCCGGAATTCCGTGAAAAAAACTCATCTATGTAAGTTAAATGTGGAAGAGATAAAGCAACATTTTACAACCAGATGCTTTTCTGACATTAACCCGTTTTTCAAATCAATAAAGTAATTATACAGTGCATAAATAAAAAAATTGAAGGTAGGTTAATTTGAAAATTTTTTTAATAGCATTTACTAAATTTGTTAATAAAAAAACAAAAAAAAACTTTATGCTATATATTACTTTTGAAATAATTTTGAATTAAATCATTGCTTTTGTTTAATAAAAACTCACAACAAAGTTTTATGGCGAGTTATTAGGGTAAGTAATGTTCCAATTAACAAGTTGAAACAACGTTATTAGAGAAATGTGTTTGATTAAAAAGTGAGTTTGTCAACATCAAAGTAATTTTAGATTGTTTAACATTTTTTAACAATTAACTTTAAACTATCTTGTTAACTAAATATAAAATAATAATACAAAAATTAAAAAGATTTTTGTAATTTATAACCCCATAATGCTTTACAGCGCACAAAGACATTTTTAAATAATACTAATAGTTTTCTTGGTTACTCAATATAAAAAAAGCGCTAATGATACTCTAGTTTTTTAAATGGCTAATCAAATTAATGACTTTTATTCGTTAAAATGACGTCTCTAAAGGTAGAACAGATTAATAACTTTCATTCATTAAAATGACTTCTTAAAAGGTAGAATAGATTAATGACTTTCATTCATTAAAATGACTACTCAAAAGGTAGAACAGATTAATGACTTTCATTCATTGAAATGACTTCTCAAAAAGTAGAACAGATTAATGACTTTCATTCATTGCAATGACTTTCATTCATTGCAATGACTTCTCAAAAAGTAGCAAAATCTTATAAAAAAAAAGATTAATGAAAAATTTGAATAAATACAAAAACAAAAAAACAAAAATCAATTTAAAGAACAATGTTTCGAATTAACATCAGAAAATAATAACAAAATTAAAACTTTAAAGTATATAAAAGGCAACCATTGATTTTACAGTGAAATGAAACATCAATAAAAATATTTTAAACAGTTTTTTAAAAATATTCAAGTCCAAAAGATTTAAATACTATATATATATCCAGAAATATATCCAGATTGTTTGTAAATGCTTAATTTTTAAAACTAAATTTTATTAACTGGTCAACATTGAGTGACAAGAACTCATTTTGGAAGGTCAAAACAGCTATTTTGATAATTTTAGGCGTTTGAACATTATAAAAGCAAGGTCAACCTGGCTTTTTATAATGGTTATATTGGTAGACTTCTTGATTTCATATTTTGATGGATAACTATGTTATGACTACCTAAATGACTGTTATCAATTAACTTTAAAGACAATGTTATTATAAACAATTTGCTGAGTCACCAAAAAACAATTCTGCAAAATACAAAGACACAAAATCTTTAAATTTTTATGAAATATGCAAAAAGTTTTTTTTGTAAGAATTGTTCTGGAACTGTTCACACTAAAAGTCTAAAATAATGTCGTATCAGCTCTTTATTTTGGTTTTATAGTTCAATTTTAAAATAATTAAAATTAAACTATAAAACCACAATAAAGAGCTGATACAACAGTATTTTAGACACGACAGTAGTTTACTTTATTAGATAAGACAGTAGTTTAACTTTATTAAAATATGGTTTAATTAAATTAAATTCATTACAAAATTATAAAAAAATTTGGTCCTGTTTTTAAAGTCCTGAAATTATCAACAGTTTACTGTTGATAACTTCTGGACTTTTTATGAAACCTTGAAGGTTTTCAGGCGTTTGAGCATATTTTATTTGATAGTATTTTTTTGATCTATTTTCCTTAAAAAATACATTTCTGATAGTCTCAACACTCTAGATTAGCATTTACTATAATTTCTCAGATTTTCTGATTATTTTTTCATCATTGAATTTTTTCGTTCTCTAGATAAATAATGTAAATATTTATTTACATTTCAGCAAAATGCATAATTTTGTGGTGTAAATATGATGACTATCACTTTTATTCATCATTTTCAGTATTGTAGATTGATTATTATAGCTTACAATTGTTAAATTGCAAAAAGAGTTAAAGATGCCCAAGATGATGAAAGCATTCACTTTTGTCAACACAGAAAATATGAAGGAGCACCAACTAGTCAATCTTTTGTAAAGAAAGCTCAACCTAATTAACTTAGCATGAAGAAAACAAGTGTTTAGTGTTCATATAGAAATGAACACTAAACCCTGTGATTAGGGGGAATTTTACAATGGTTAAACTAGGAATTACTGGAAATTTTTGATCAGTTACTGCAGTTGCTTCACTTGCAGAAGTTGAAAAAGTACTTTCGTTATTTTGTTTTTCACCAACAAAAGCAGGCAAATCATGTTATTAAATTGGTTTTCTTATTTAAATTTGGTTGATTTTATGATATAGTTTTACCTAAACCAGAGGCAATTAAACTAATTTTTAAAAGATCTTGTTATTATCCTGTCACATTAGTTCTGGCCACAACATTAAACTTATCTTATGAAGAACATGCAAAGCTTTTTAGCCAACATAAAGGCTAAATTAATTTAGAAAGAAAATTGATATAAAAACTTAAATTTATTTGTGAAATATTAGTAAGAGTAAGTTCATTAATCATCCTAGTAAGTGTATCAAGATAATATATTACTCAGTCGGATCAGCAGAACAAATTAACAATACCAGGTTGTGAAAATTACTTTTATCTCATTTGAAAAAGGATGTAATACTTGCCAAAATATTGTTTTGCATTCTGAATTGTTTTATAATATTTTTCTGTTTTATTGTATTAGATTTTAATTATTTTTTAAATTAAAAATATGAGCAAATTTTAAAAAAATTAATTAAAATCAAAGAACAAAATGTAACTATTAGTTACTAGTCAGAAACTTCTAAATTAAAGATATTTAAGTTAACATATTACTAAATATTAAGTTATCTTTAACTGGCACTAAATCTCTAATATCTATTACAAATAACTTATAAACAAAAAAATAAAAATTAATTTTTTTTTGTGCTTTTTTAAAATAATTTGATAACGATAAGTTAATAGTATTGAGCCTGTACAAAAACAATTTTTTTCAAGCATGTGTGTACATACACAATTTAATTTTTTTTTTTAATTATCTTAAATTTTATACACAAAATGATTTTCTTAGACTAGTTTAATAAAGTTTAATAAGTTTTCATAAGACCCTAAATTTAAATACCTCCAACAGCATCAGATATCTTTTTTAAAGCTTTTTCTACAGTGGCTACAATTGTTTGAACTTGCTTAAGCTCTGCCTCACTTGGATATATTTCATTATGACGCACCATCACAAGCTGGTCATCAGGTGATTGAGAAGAATTCTAAATTTTTTAAATATTAAAACGTGTTACAGTATAACACAACAGCTTCAGTAAATTTCTGAAATAAAATAAACATTAAAATAAGCAAAAACACTAACTGAATGTCCAAACAATGGACGAGGTTCTGCATGTCTTTCTCGATTGTCCCATTCATAAAATTCTAACTCTTGCATTCGGTTGCGATCTGGGCGCGTCCAATACCTATTTTAAAAATTTTAAAATTCTGACATAACGCTTATAAATAACTTTTTTTTTTTTAAGTTCAAGTTAAAGCACAGGCTATTATTAATATGAAAAAATATCAAAAGACTTTCTGATTAATTTAAATTTTATACAAAACTATTCTCATAAACTATAACTGTTTTGCTAATATCTTGATGAGCATATCATTATAATATCTTTTGACTATTATATCTTATGGGATTTATGCAAGCTTTTGGTAAATTTTTTAGTATTAAAGTGAAGAGGTTTACAGTTTAAATAAAAGTTTTGTCTATAGAAGTATTGAGCTTAATACATTTATATGAACAAGGTTTGTAATTTGGAATTGAGTTACAAGTAAGAAGAGAGACTCATTGAGTGTGGTGGCTCTTCCGGGAACCTTGGAGAGATAAATTGTAGGAGGTGCTGTAAGTTATCTGATGTTGTTTGAGGTACTTATTTAATAATTAAAGTTTGTAAGTACCTCAAACAACATCAGATAACTTACAACACCTCCTACAATTTATCCTAAAAGCTCCTAAAATTAAAACAGCTTGAACTTTTTTACAGAAAAAAGATGTCAATACAAAAGATGCATAAAGACATAATAAAAATATACTAGTTTTGAACTAAAATTCTCTACCTTTCCCTTATTCTAAGTTAATAAATAGATTTTGTCTTTAACAAAATGTAAACTTTTGAAAAAAAAAGAAACATTGTTGAGAACTGGTGTCACAGGAAATTTTGTTACTACAAAAAATAATCGATGTCCTATAACAAAGCATAGATACCAAGTTATCATCTAAAAAGTTTTGATGGGAATATTAACTAATAAGAAGGAAAGGCTGAAAATTAGTCCATTTTTTGTAACATTTTCCTTATATTTTTAAATGTTTTGCAAAATTAAATAGAAAGATTATTGACATTTACAAAAAAAAAGAAGAGGAGAATACCGTAAGTTTATCTCTCTTTCACTTTGATAAAAGAACTTTTTAGAATCATTTACTTATTAGAAGTGTCATTGATTGAATAAAAGTAACTTTCTTCTTTCTTAACCCTAAATATTTTAAGCACTAAAATTAAAATTTATTGATATTATAAATATTCTTACAATACAATTGGCAAAGACTGTTGTTATACCTTTTTTAAGTCACTTATGCATTTACACCTATATATAACTACTTTTGGACAGTAGGAAATCGCTCTGGAGGAAAGCTATATAAATATTCAAGAAAATCCTTAATCCTGTGAAATTCTAGCAGTTCAGGAATGTTCTAGACAATTGGTCATTTTTAATACAAACTGAGGAGTTTCTCAAAAATAATACCGGAATTTTATGATTACATTGTCCTGGTAACAGAAGCAAAGTTTTTGTGAAATTTAAATTAACTTACATACTTTTTACCTCTTTGACCCTAACAATATTCACACAACCTTACATTTTTTATATTTACATATCATTCTTTTTTAAATTCTGTACCAGTAATACCTCTCTGGGAGTCTTGCTAAAGTTTTGTCTCGACCAGTGATCACTATTTTCCAACTATAGTTCTCAAACTTACTAGAAGACCCATGTTTCTAACTTTGTGAAAATAAAAAAGCAAGCCACTTATAATATTGTTTGGATCTTTTTATCTTAACTAATCTTATTGACGCCATATTGTCTTTTATTTAGGAAAAAGCTAAATTTTATATTAGTAGCATTTTTTTTTACAGAAATAATAAAACTAGCTAACATAAACAATATTTCCTAAAAACATACAGAGATAACAATTTCACAGCAAAAAAATTTCCTGTGACAATAGGATTAAATAATATATGTCAAATTACAACTTGACTCTACTATAAACATGTTTAAAGCGCGTTATGCAACTTACAACACTGCAACCTATTTTACACATAAAGTAATTTAGGTACCAAATTTTTTTCCCTAGGCTTTGATGTTATTGTTAACAAACTTGTAGATATTACCGATAGTTAATTTTTTTTACAGGCAGTCTTTGTAAACTCAATGCAAAATTGTAAAAAGAAAATTGTTGGAAGTGAAGATGTTAAAAAAAAGTTGCAAAGTTGTAAAAAGAATTAAAAATAAAGCAAAAGAAGTAAACTAGAAGTAGTAAACTTGGTTCTAAATACAGATTATTAATTACTAAAGAGATTTAACTCTAAATTCAATACTAGTATTTTTGCCTATTCCAATAATTTTTCCTTCTCCATTAGACAACATTTGAGATTATAACTTATATAGTGTATAAGTGTATATATATAAATGTATATAGTAAAAAAAAAAAACTGCGACTAAATTTATTCAACTCATAGGTACCAATTGTTATAATTTTAAGAAAATCTGTGAGGTAGATAAAAATTGTTTAACCTACTTTCACATGGATTTATCCATGAAATAAAATTAAAACTCAATGCCTAATACTTCTTTAAGTCAAATGAATAAAAAAGTAAAAGGTTTATAAAGGGTATAACAAAACAATATTTTTGATTCTATTCTAGAATAAATTTATTATTAAAGCACCACTCTCAAGAATATTTTAGACATAACCTCAGCATTGAAAAAAATACTTGAAAATTGATTAAATGTTTGACCCCCGCCTAAATAAAAAAAAAAAAATAAAAAAAAATAAAAAAAACCAAAGAACTTACCTGTCTTCATTAGCTCTTCGCATATATTCATCATGTTCCCATCTTCTTAACTCATCTTCTCGATGTCTAAGCTGCTGTTCCCACCTTATTTGTTCTTGCTGTCGCTGTTTCCAAACCATCTCTTGACTACCTGTTGCACGAGGTCGCTCATCGCTATTACGACCCCAACGACTATTAGATCCTCGAACATTGCCTTTGACATCAACTTTCAATGTTGGATCAACTTTTTTCTGAAAAACAAAACAAAACAAAACAAAAAAAAAATAAAATAAACAAACTTAAATTAGTCAAAGTAAAAAACAAACTGTATTTAAAAAATAAAAAACCTTATAACTCAAGCGATGTCTTCGTCCTTTAGTATGTGCTGTCTTAGCAACAACATCATTAAATCGACAATCACATAGTGTGCATTTGAAACCAATAACTTTTCCTAGGTCACTCTTGACATCCTCTATGTATGCTTCACCTTATTAAATAAATGAAAACAATTTGCTACTACTTTTAAAAATAAAATATTTAAGAACTAGTTATGAGAAATGATAAAAACGTTAAACTTTTAAATATTTCAAATATTGACAAATTAAGCAACTAAAAAGAAACTTTAACTAACATGATATGAATGTTTAGATGTGAAAGCAGAAGAATCTAATAAAATAAATGGATTAGATTCAGATGTTACAGAATACGAATCAGAGGATAAGCAATAATGAAACCTGATAAGCGATGAAAAAATAAAAAACAGACAAAGTTGATTCTTTATGGATAATGAATACAAAACGTCAAAGTAATTCTGGATTAGTACCATTAGATCATTCAGTTCTATTCAATATAGATACATGTTGACTAAGCAGATATTTAGACCATGGACATTAATATAAGTCTTGACATCCGATGAACAATAATAAGTGTTAATACTGTTTCTAGTTGCACTTTTTTGGCAACTGGCCTAAAAGAATAATTAAAAAAACTGCACCAAGAGTAATGTAATTAATTTTACCAGGAAGCAAATGCAGTTTTTTGTATTGAGTGTTCATGCATGAGTATACTTTAGACAACTTGGTCATTGCATTCGCAAGTTTTTTTATTTTAGACGTTGCAGAAAAAACTAAGTTTCAAAAACAAAGAAAGCAATACTAACAAAATAACATTCTTAGTTTTAAAAATTAAATAATTTTCATTTTGTTTTAAAAATGAATTATTACTTTATACAGCAAGACCCCACAATGCAATCATTAACCCAGAGAAAGCAAGGATAAAGTCAATGATAAACCTGAATTTGTTTATTTACTGTGGATACTTGAATCTATGATTGATGCAAACATTAACATAAACAATAGTTTAGATCATGTAAGACATAATAAGGACATTGGAGGAGTTGAAAAACTGACTAACAACTTCATGGTCTACTAAATTTTAATTTAGTAGACCATGAAGTTGTTAGTCAGTTTTTCAACTGACTATCAACTTCATGGTAATATCAAAAGTAATACTAGATTGTGATACCACTTGTGTGTTTTTCCTTAAAAAAACATATATATGTATATATAGCACTTGGACAATCAAAAGTAATACTAGATTGTGATACCACTTGTGTGTTTTTCTTTAGAAAAACACACAAGTGGTATCACAATCTAGTATTACTTTTGATTGTCCAAGTGCTATTAGACGCAAACTGCAGGTTGAAAGTGTTAAGATGTTTTTAGATTTTGAATATGACGTAAATTCCCTGATTCTAAAATTTAAATACCTAAAATCATCTTACTAATCTAACTAATTCTTTTATAAGTTTGGCTCACTATAAAGCATTACTTTGCAGTGAAAAAACACACTTAGTAAAATATCAACACATCACTTATTTAGATATTTAAGATATTACAGCTATTTAAAACACATTTTAAAATAACTCATTGACATAACATAAAAGATTTTTAGTTTTAATTACATTTTTTAATGTGCAACCATTAATGGCTTTTTTATATAGTATGTTTTCTTTTTTATCACTTTTATTTTTTTTATATAGTATGTTTTATCTTTGATTAATACCAAGACTACCACCATAAGTAAAGATTTTAAATCAAAAATTTCAACACAACAAAAATAAAAACTTAGAAAGGAAAAAAAGTAGAACAGCCATTAGTATTATAATTAGGATAAAGTATTTTTTTTCTCTATAACTTTTGTAATTGTACTACAGAGTATTTAACAAGAAAAAAATTTAGCAGATTAAGAAATGCGAGACAGACTTAGATTTTGAAATATTTTAATTTGTTTCCTCTTTTAAAACTGTTTGCAATACAAAAATTTGAGAATAAAAACCTTAAAAGATAAAAACAGAATTAAAAACCAGCCCAAAGATTATTGTTATTAATCCACTCAACAACCATTTAACTTCAAAAAAAGTCTTACCCACTGGTTCTCCTTCAGGAGGAATTTCACTATCATTATCTTGTGATTCTGATGTTTCAACTTTTTCTTCCCCACCTGTAGAGTTTAACTTGGTGCCTCCAACAAAGCTAACCTTTGGTACAGAACTTTTGACAGATGAGTTTGTACCAGTAGAAACTCCTGTAGTAACTGTAGTTGTTGGCTTTTTTGGTTCAGGAACCTTTACATCGGGAATGGGTTTACCAAGCTTTTGGTGCAATTTCATTGTCTAAAATATGTGTATGTCTATATTTTAAAATTATTTAATAATGTAGTTTTTAATTTGATGTAAAAATATTTCTAAACTCATTAATTTATTACTTTTAAGTTCTTACTTTAAATTGAACTAAAATTAAAAATTAATCAAAATTTTTTTGTTATCTTAAACATAATAGCAGTAAAAATGCATATTAGAAATAAAATAAGAAAATTATAAAAAAAAATTATTTATTTAATTTAATGCAAACTAGCTAAAAAAGAAATTAGTTTGCATTATAACTAAATAAATTAATATAATCATAAAATACATTTACAAATTTACTTTAGTGTGATTAGTTCCTTTTATATGAGCTGCAAAAGCATCTCGACCAGTGCATATCACTTCACACAAGTCACATTTGTAAGTTCCAGGTGCCATAGTAGCAACATTTGTTGCAGCAGAGTTAGCTTTCTTTTTGTGCTTTTGACCCTCTAGATGCTCTTTATATGTCTAATAAAAGTAAACCAACTAAAATTAAACTAAGCCAAAATATTTTATAAAACAAGAATTTTAAAAGTATCAGGCTTAGTCAGGAAGCGGGTGCAATCGCTCTCGAATACTGATCACGGAAATTATATTTTGTTGCAAAAAACTGGCCATGTTTTTTAGTTGTTTTGAGAATATTTAAGTTTATGCACAAAACAAAAAATTTTCGTTTATGGACATACATGGAAACATAAAAATCTTGAATGTTCTCAAAACATCTTGGTGCCGAAGAGTAAAAAGAAAAGTAGAGTTGAACTTGTAGAATACATTTTAGACACAATTTTTATTGATTATATTAAAACAATAGACCATTCAAAAAACAATAAAAATTTTCTTACCAATTGACCAGCGCAACTTATCTTACATACTTCACAATAATGTAGTTGCTGAGGTTTTGGAGGATTAGAATTTCTTGATGGCCAGGAACCTTTTTGGTTAAGTTTGAATGTTGGTTTTTCATTTTTTTGCCATGCTGGTCGTGCTGTTTGTGCTTGCTGAGTAAGAAAACTAGTTGCAGCATTGTACACAACTTTTTCATAAGCATTTTGATGAGTTACAGGTTTGTTTACAGGAGCAGTGGGAGCAGGCTACAAAAATTACTTAAGACTGTATAAAACACAAATATTTGAAATCAATATCAGATAAACATTTAATGTTTATCTGGATAACACACAATTTCTTTTTAAACTAAAATAAATGATGCAAAATCTACTAATTAAATTGTCTTATTATATCTGCTTAAAAAAAGAGTAAGCATTATAATCAACTAAAAAATAACAATAATTCTTATAATGTCCCAAAAAGAACTCTGACTTTGAAAATCAAAAAATAATTATTTTTTCCAGTTTTTAGTATCCAGGAGCTTTAAAAATGTAGCTCCAAATATGTTAAGAGATCAATAAAATATTATGGGAAAAAAATTAAGACTTTTAGTTTGAGGAACAATCTTTGAACCCAGACTCCTTAGGTAAACAGGAAGGACTTCAGGCTAAAAAGCAATATTCCACATTATAAAGCCTTAGGAATTTTATTCTTATTATAAATCATAATTCACTTAACACTTTTAGAGCTCTTGGACACCAGGAACCAATAAAAATAGAGATTTAAAGCCAGAGTCTTTTTGGGACTCTGCACCCCTGATTCAGTATCATGACTTTATTACAATTTAACGCAACTTAAACATAAAATATCTCTTAACAATGTTAAAATTTAACATATATTCACATTCATAAAAAATAAAAACAATAACAGTAAAATGATTTTAGGGATTATGAAAATCTAAACATCCAATAAAGAATCACTAACTTTTGGTTTGTTATAGGAGACACCTGAGCTGTTATATGTAGGTGGATTAGAACTTGGACGTGGTTGTGCTGTGTAACCAGCAAATGTTGAATTAATTTGAGAAGAATAGCTTGGTGGCTTCTGATAAGCCATAGTATTTCCAGTATATTGAGTCGCAGGCTTTGCAGTTCCATAAGCAAACACTATAATAATATTTTAACAACTATATTTATATATGGCTACCACTGTTTTAAGAGAAATTTTGTTTTTAAATTTGAATGTTTGTTCATATTTAACTATACAAAAAACAATAAAAAAAATTTATAGCCATTTATATCATAAAATCCCAAAAATACGCTAACAAACAAAAAGTATCCTAGCCAGGGATAGAAAGTCCAAATATAACTCTAGGATTTAGAGCCGAAAATTATTTTTACTTGTAGCTTTATAATTTTTTCAATTTCGAACAACAATCCTTTACAAACTACACTAAGAAAAGTTATGATAACACAGTAATGATTTACTTTTATAAGTATATATACACACACAAACATGTATATAACATTATCAGAATTTTAAAACCAATCAACGCCACATAAAAATATGATCATCCGGGAACCAAAATTATCAAACCTTGTTGCGTTGGTGTTTTTTGAGTTTCTGCATAAGTAGGATTTTGTTCAGATGCTCTTTGAAAGTAGCCATATCCTCCTGTAGTAGCAACTTGTACAGTGGCTTGTCCACCAGCGGAATATGCAGGACCATAAGCACTACTTGGTGCTTGATAATTGGACTGTTGAACTACACGACTGGGTTGAGCAGCATAACCGTAAGTTGCAGCGTTTTGCGACGGAAAAGATCCTCCATTATATTGCTGAGGCTGACTCGTAAAATTAGCATAACCATAGCCATAGCCAGCCATTTTTTTTTTCTATCTTCTCTTGCGAACTTTTAATAAAACACGTTTTATTTCTAAAAAGTAACACTGCGGGAGGTATATTATCTTAATATGGAAGTAATCAGAACATATATGGAGCTTCAATCTATGTTAACGCATTCTACTGTTGGCGTGGTCAAACAGATTAAAAATTTTATATCAGAGTTTACTACCTCGATCACACAAAGTTGTTGAACGTTTTTAACACTGTTATCGAGGCACGTCTTTGATGATTTTTTAATCGCAAAAATCAGAGTTGTGTAACTGCCGTGAAATGAAAAAAAACTCAAGATAAAATTATGTTGAATGTCCGGGTCACTTCAATTATCCGTTCTTTCTCACTTAAGTTCAATCTCACTAATGAATATTATTAATTAAAAAACGCATTAAAGGAAAGGAACCGTCAAAATCGATAATATAATTTCTCTCTTGAATACCTTTAAAATAGGTGCGATTATGTGGCATTTTTTTGATCAGATTTACTTTTAAAATAATCAAATATCCTTAAATCATCTTTGTAGAATTTTTTACATAGAGAATTACAGCAAATAGTTACTTTAATTAGGCTTCTTTCTTTTTATAGCAGGCTGTGGCGTGACTCCCAGCTCCGGATTGCGGTAAATACCCTTAAGATTACGGTGCTACAAATTCGGAATAATTGAATCTTTGTAAATAACTTTTAAATAGTTATCTGAGATTCATAAGCAATTGCATAAAGTTAAATTTAAAAAAGGTGTAATTTATACTTTATTATTAAATTCGAAAAATGGAATGTAATCATCTAGAATTGTCTGTGGAAATATCTCCTGCTTTTGTCAGCCGATTAATGAATGAAAATCGAAATCTATGGAGTTGCTCAGGTAAATTATATTTTTAAAATCTCTTTTTTTTCTTGAAAAGGTAGTATAAGGGGAAAACAAGGTATCTTTTTTAATTTCAAAATTAAGTGTTTTCTTTATTCTCAAGTTAAATTTTATATAGTTTTTTGATTAGTTAAATTTTATAAGTTTCTAAAGCATAATAAATGTTTTCTTGGAGTAAAGCATTCAATATTTTATTACACTGACTACTTTAGTGTGCAAAACGAACAAAAGTCCATGGATGTGTTTGAAATGTGGTGAAGTTTTATGTGGAAGGTATTTTAGTTTTTATAGACATTATTATTTTTATTTTCTAACTATTTAACGAAATACTTCAATTTAATAGTAATATTGCTTGGAGGTTGAAGTTTAACAAAAATAACAAAGAATCCTAGATTAAAATATTAAATCATAATTAAAAATAACATCACAACTATGGAGTTGTCTTATCTTTTTAATGATAGCTAATGATTAGCCAATTATATTGACACATAAAGTATACACAATTTAGTATTTTAGTTTAACACACATACTGGTCAAAATCTTTTTGATAATATTAGGGCTAATCAAAATGTTTTTTAAAACTTTAAAAATTAATGTTTGTGCACACTGATTTATTCCAGGATTTGAAATAAAATGTTCCAAGTGTTGATACTTGGGACTTGTTTAAAGAAAATACATTGTATAGATATACAATAATACAGTATAAGAGTGGAAATAATTCAAGAAGCTGTAGTCATTTATTTCAACCAGTATTAGGTTAGGAGAGAAGAAAACAAAGAATATTGTTAAAGAGCAAGAAAACTGTTGACAGAAGACTTAAAATGTTAAAGGTTGAATAAATCAGAAAGACGTAAAGATAGGAGAGAGTTCTAACGCATTTAAGTGCAGGGGCAGTCAAAGCAGGTCCAACTATGCTTACAATGTTTTCAGACCTTGTGAAAAGAGAAAAGAGAAAAGGCATCATTAGAAGAACCATCCCAAATATGACAACAGTATTCCATACTAGGACAAATAAAAGATTTAACGAGTTAATTTATTTAGTGAATAAAAAACAGTATTCCATACAGGTAAGAATAAGAATTATAAAATGGAACCAGGAGTAAAATAATGGAGAGCACAAAAAAGAAAAACAACCTTAATAGATGCTAACTTTGAATTGTATATATGGTTGTATATAATGAATTGTATATGGTTTATATATGGTTTCTATCAGAGACCAGTATTAAACAATAATCCAAGAAGACGTAAAGAAGAGGATTTTGCGAGGGTGCCATTCTTTTAATATAGAAATGTCAACAATATTCTAATAGTTGTTTGCAGTAAATAACTGAGTTTAGTTGGAGTTAAAATTCACAACAGGAGTATAAAGTATAATATTGTATTAAAATAAGTATAATACTTTAATACTGTGTTAGTACCGAACACATGAATATAGTGCAGGCAATGTTATGAAGGGTTACCCTGTTCCTGTTTATGTATAAAAGGGAAATTTTATATACGCGTTAAGCCATTTGCACAATGTCAAAACTTTTTTCACTTGAAATAAACTAGAGATATTATGAATACCAAATACTGAATATTCGGCTAGACACTCAGCAGTTGGGTTGGCATTTGACAATGCTGGCCTAATTACCAACTTCAAAATGTTTAAAGTCAGCAAAAATTTGCTGAACTCGTTTCTATGTTTTGCGATAACCTTTTTTTGTCAAATTTCTTTTGCCCACCTGATGTGGACCTCTAACAGTTTGAGGACCTCTAATAGTTTTGAAGGTTTTACTTAGTTATTATAATTCTAATTCCGAGGGTTGTACTTAGTTATTATGCATCAACTTGTTTTAACTATAGCATATATATATATATATATATATATATATATATATATATATATATATATATATATATATATATATATATATATATATATATATATATATATATATATAAAAACTATGTGTATAAAAGTCAAACTCTTCAAACTATTCAAAAAAATTACAAAAATTACTAGCTCAGGTGTATCATTGCATTTCTGAGGTAACACCAAACTTATTTAAAAAAATATTTTCACAACAATCTTGAAGCATGGTTTAACTTTAATGTTAATGTTTTTTTGTTTTTTTGCCGTTTGATAATTTGCCTGTCTAAAAGTTTGCTGTTTGATAGATTTATTATAAATACATACTACATATATAAATTTAGGTCAGAGTAAGAAGAAAACATAAATTGTTTCATCACCAAGCCCCGTTCACATATAGTCTGTGTTTATATAAGTGATGTACCGGTATCACTTTTTTGGTCAATGCCGATGCCATTGTTGTAAAGTTGTATTTCTTTCTCTTTTCTACAAATACTATCATGGTTGCTCTTTTCTACAAATACTATCATGTTATCAACCAAAACTCATTCTCACCTGACATTCATCAAAGTCTCATTCTTTTAGTGTATCTGTCTTTTCATGCTCCAAAAACTTTTATTTGTCTAGCTTATTTCTCAGCACTTCAACCCTTCTGAACTCTGTCCCATCTTCATGTTTTCCTGACTTATACAACCTTCAACTTTTAAAGTTTTCTGTCAACTGTTTTGTAGCTATATAACTCTACTCTTTTTTTCTAGCAACTCCCAACTTGATAGTGGTTGCTTGCAGCTTTGCAACAATTTGATAACAATGCTTAAATAGGTTACTTTGGCTGTTAACACAGTCAAAATAAAAATTTATCCGAAAAATTCTAATTGATGCATAAAGTTTAGTTTATTTATTGTTTAATTATTATAATAATGCACAATAAAAATATTAAAATGCCATAGTTTGGAAAAAGAGGCTGATGCCAATACCGATTCCGAATGTACAAAGAGTGGCCGATTAAGTCGATGCCGATTAATCGGTACATCACTAGTTTATATAAAAGCAATTATATACATAATCCGTTTTACAATATATAATACAATATTATATTTTTCAAAATGCTTAAAATGGCTTTAAAAGAATGCGAAACTATAGTTTATTTCTGCTAATTTAAAATAAAAGTAATATAAACATACATATATATTAATACATACATATTTTCTATATTAATGTTTAATAAGATATATTAATTTAGTGATAATAACAACATTTTTTCTTCTTTTCTATTTTGAATTAGATTTAGAATAATGCATATTTGAAGTCTGTTGTAATAAATTCTAATTGTAATAAGACTCTTTTAAATTCTATTTTAAATTTCTCCAAGGAGTAGTGCTCTTTATGATTAATAAAAATTTTTATTAAATCTTTTATTGAGGGTTGCATGTACCCTTTTGGTCCTTGTGCCTACCCAGTGCCCTCTCCTTTGGGAAGCCCTATATATATATATATATATATATATATATATATATATATATATATATATATATATATATATATATATATATATATATATGTGAGTGTGTGTGTGTCTGTGTGTGTGAAACTAAATTAAATGTAATTGACATTATTTAAATAAATACTGTCAATTACATGAAAAATGTGTTTATAGATATGTGAATGGTCATGCAAAGATGCACAGTGAATCATGCGCTTCGCATAATGTTTGCATTGATGCTTCTTTAATGGTCTTTTGGTAAGTACCACTAAACTATATGTAAAATATAAGATAAAGAAAAAAAAAAGAAAATACTAACTTTTTAGTATTGTTGTTAAATAATTAAAAATAAAACGAATTTAATTAATATTGTTGTTATAATTTTTTTATTAATATATTTATTATTATATACATATTATTATTTATTATTACTTACAAGTTAATACATAAAAATGAAAAGTTTTATGTATTAATTAGTATTTTCATTTATTATATGTTTGTTTTTTTAAATACGCTTTGTATATATTTTTAAAATAGAGCAGAAATTCACAAATTTCTACTCTATTTTAACTACCTAATTGCACACAACTTTTTCATTCCTTTAATATATTATTTATAAATATTTTTCTGTAAAAGTGGATGATAACAAAGGCACCTTCATGTATAAAGACAGGGCAGTTCTAGGAAAATAATCTAGGCAGTACCCCCCAATTAAGAACTATTTTCTTCTTTACAGTGACTATTTAAATTTCTTCTTCATTCTTCTTTAAAGTGACAATTTATTCAAAACTTTACAGTGACAATTTAAACAATTTATTCAAAATTTGTAATAGGAATAAAATTGCATGAGCAAAATGAAGCTCTACAAATATTAAATTGTACAAAAGCTTCAACTCTTATGTCATTATTTTATTAATAAAAAATCACTAAATTATTATTTTTTTAATTTTATTATATATTTATTAAATTTTATTATAACTAAATAATTATTTTAAAATTTATGATTGTAACTATATTTAAATTATAGCTATTACTGGTTATAAACAAAAAAAACTTTGGACTTTTGTTATATCACTGCAACATGTTTGCGGCAATTTATAGAATAAGTTTGTGTTATTGCTTGCATCTCACTGCATTAAACACTAAAAACTGTATAACCACAGTTATTTGTCAATATAGTGTGAGCTTTAAGTTAAATCACCTTTAAAAAATGATGCAAAAAAGCTTTAACTTAATGGTGCTCATGCATTTTTTGTGGGATAAATATCAAAATCTCTCAAAACCTAGAAAATAAGGCATTTTATATTTTGCAAACTACAGCCATGAAACATTTTGTTTCCAAAATAAAGCCAAGTTTTCAGTTTAAGCGCTGTTCAATTTTGGCAACTCTTCCCTATTTATATGTCATGGTTAACTGCTAAGAGAGAACATGATGATCAGATGTGTGGCGTGATTCTTTTAAGACAAGAAAAGAAGTCATGATCTTAGACAGAGAATTGTGAGTGTATTGTATGAGGCTTGTTAGAGAAGAATAAGGCAGTTTTAGTATGCTAAGCAATAAAAATGCAGATGATTTAAATCTCAGCATGTTCAAAGGTAGGAATTTCAGAAGAAAAAGTTTGATGTAGAAGTAAGAATACTTGGAGAGAGTGTGTTACATAAGGTATGAACAAACTTTAAAGAAAGTAGATGCTTAAGATTTTATATTAGAGAAAAAATGATGATGATGATGATGATGATGATGATGATGATGATGATGATGATGATGATGATGATGATGATGATGATGATGATGATGATGATGATGATGATGATGATGATCATAGTTGTGATGGTCAAGGTGGTTTTTATATATAAATATGTATATAAATTTAAAAATTTAAAATAAAAATAAAAGGATGTAGGGGATTGTTGCTAATATGGGTCTTATTAAGAAAACTAATATTTCATTGTACTGGTATGTAACTCTCCCTTAACTGTATTTTGTAAGTAATTAGACAATAAAAACTGTATTTTTTTATTGTCTAATTATGCTTACAAAAGCATGCAATATTCACAAATAATTATCAAGTTACAATTTTTTGATATCTTTAATTAAAGTGCTCTAAAAAATCTTTCAATAATTCTATTGAATATTTTATTGAATGTTTTAATGAACCCCTCATCATTTATTCTGACCTCAAGTTAAAACAGATGATGAGGTTAGTTAAAATATATTATGAGTATATAAAATACATTTTTATTAATAAATGCACTTTTAAATAACGCAACTACACAAGCTAGTATTATAATAAACTATTTTTAATATTTGTATCCAAAGGATACATAAATTTAAACAAGTTACTTTAGCCATCAGCATCGTTAGAAGGAAAGAAAAATTTGGCAGTATGTCAATCTATAATTAAGCATGGGTCATGAGCACAAAGGGAACACACAAGGCACATAATCCAATTTACTCCCAGTTTAGACTCACTAAACAGCTTTTGTTAATATATGCATGCTTCTCTATTCTTTGCTAATGCAGGCTTTTTATTCAAAAAAATATATATATTTTTTTTCTTTTTGATACTTTTGTCTTCTGCAGCATTTTTTGGTGTATTTTTTGTATTTTTTTTTCTGGAACCTTCTTTGTATTTTTTTTGTAGTCTCTCTTTTGCTATTTTATTTCTGGTAATCTCTTTGGTGTATCTGTTAAGATAAAAATCTTTCCCTTTTTGGAGCCTTTTTTTTTTACTTTGTGGCATCAAAATTTCTAATATTGGTCAAATGCTTTCAAGTTCTTCAAAAGTTTCTTGTGTTATTTTTGCTGTACTTGCTGCCAGAAATTCAAAAAAAGTTCAATAGGTTCAGTATTTTTTGGTTCTGGTTTAATTAGAAGCAATCAAAGTTTACATTTACACATTAAAAATTTACAATTATTATTATTATTACTATTAGCCAAAGCTAATTAATCAAACATTCCATCATGCATAATCAATTTAACTAGTACATTCTTACCTAACTTTGCTTTATGACGGCATGTAGACCTAAATCTTTTAAAGTGGAGGCATGTAAAAATAAATAAATGTGAAAAATGTTTAATATTTGTTCCTTATAAGTTCATAATTTATTTACTGTAATTACTTTTTTCAAGTTTAACAAGTTTTATTTTTAAAAAAATCATTCTTTTTTTTTTCAATTCATTTTTTTGTTAATAACTATACTATTAAGCAAATTTTTTATAATCAAATAATCATAACCCCTATCGTAACAGAAAGCAAAAAATCTAAATAAATTTTGTGCTGACCTTACATCAGCTAAGTATGGCACTCTTGTGCGGACCTGAAACCCTTCGAATTTCGCAGGCTGATGTCCCATCATCCTATTGACCAATATACCTGTTATAGAAACTGGACAAAGGGTCAACTTTTATCTTTTGATTGATAAATTTTACCTTTTATGTTTACTTGATCTTTTTTATTGTAAAAGCTTTAAACAGAGTTGTAGTGTTTCAAACAAAAACAAAAATGATTAATTTTCTGTTTTATAAAAACAATGATGATTATCTGTTTTAAAAAAAGGTGATAAATGGACTATTATGATGATGAATTGTTTGTTAAGGGTTTTTGTTAAATTAAAACTAAACTTTGATAAATTATTGTAATTCAAATGAGAAATTTCTTTATTCTTTTGCATTTTGTCATTTGAGACTATTTCTGACTTCAAATTACTAACTTCTAACCAATTAGTTTTAATATGCAATGAGCTTCAAAATGGCTTGTTGTTTTTACTCTCAGACCATAACTTATAATTACAGTAAATACATTAGGGATTTACTGGAGGTATAATGGAGATACACATCTAGAGTCAGAAAATTATGTTAAGGTTTTTAATTGAAAAGTTAAGTTAAGGTTTTCAATTGAAAAGTGAAGGTTTTCAATTGAAAAGTTGTAAACAATTTTTTTAAAATGTTTAGTTTAATTTTTTAATAATAAAACAAAAGTTCTGAATGCAACTCAAGTTCAATAGAATGCGCTGTGTCCTAAATTTAAATCTTTATTATAACTTCTGTTTTAAAATTATTTAGGCAGAGAAAATCAATCAAAACTTCCAACCTTTGGGAACATGATTCAAATCTTGGTCATTATATTATTGGTTATTACACCTTTAATATTTTTAGTAGTACTGTGCTATAATATGAATTGATTTCAATGATGTAAATTTTAAATCACCATTACACCTCAGATACAGTTATGTTACATCTCTAATACGTATCAACATTGTCATTTTGTCAGACAAAAGATTAAAAATCTTTTGTCTGTTAAAGTTATGTTCAATGTTCTAAATATTTGCATGATTAGTGAATTCAAACCAATATCTTAAATGCAGCAATGCAAAACAGGCTTCGGAACTTTGTGTTATTAAATTTCCAAATAATTATAAAATAAAAAAAATGTAATGTGTACATGTAAAAGTGCTTGACTATTAATGTGTTCTACCACATTTCTTGTAATTAAGATTAAAAAAATAATTTTTATAAATAAAAAGGATTTTGAGTTTAAAGTAAAAATAGTAATGGCTTTGCAGCATTTTATATTGTTTAATAAGTTGTAAAGTTTTTATTTTTGTTTCATTAGAGTTACATTCAGCAACAAAATTAGATAAGGCAAAGCAAAAAAAAAAACAGTTTGAAGTCTGCAATAAAAAGAATGATTTTCCTTTTCTTCGCATTTTTAAGAGGATAGCAAAAATACAAATTGCAATGTGTTTGTAAAATTTATTTGTATAATTTTAATGTAACAACAAGGGTTGAATTAAGCGAATGCAAAACGCAAAATCTGGAAAAATATCTAGTATTCAAAATTTTAGTTTATACAAAACCGTGTTCCTTGTTTTTAAGGGGAGAATCAACTTAAATTTGTTTAGCTAAAAAATAAAACAATAAACTTACATTTACAAAAGTAATAACACTCTAGTCACTAACTGCATTACAAAAGTAATAACACTATAATAGTGTTATTACTTTTATAACGCACTTATAACTTTTAAAATTCATTCTTTGTTCAAGCAACATTAGTATTCCCAAATTTTAATTGAAGTAGAAAAATATCTAGAAGAATAAAGTGGATGTTCAAATAGTATTAAAACTTAAATAAGTTATAAAAACGTGACAAACAACTTTATGAAAACGTATCGTATTAAAAGTTTAGCATTCTGAAAAACGTTACTAATGGACCGTAAAAATGCGCGTTAATTTTAAAATTAACCAATAAAAGTTTTTTATTGTTTGATTTTAAAATTAACGCGCGTTTTTACATAACGTTTTTCATAATGCTATACTTTTTATAAAGTACTTTTTTATAATGTTGTTTAAGTGATATGTGAAAGTTCCTGAAATTTTTAATAATATTTAAATATCCGCTTTATTTTTTTAGATGCTTATCTACTTTAATAAATGTTTGGAATTAATAATGTTGTTTGAACAAAGAATAAATTTTAAAAGTAATAAGTGCTTTATAAATGTAATAACACTATTATAGTATTATTACTTTTATAATGCAGTTAGTGATTAAAGTGTTGTTACTTTTGTAGTCGTAAGTTTATTGTTTTTGTTTTGTTTTTTGTAACTTTCTTGCTAGCAAACTTTTAATAATTTGCTCCTTATAAACAAAGTACACAGCTTTGCATGAACTAAAATTTTAAAGACCTAATATATTACCAGAGTTTGCAAATCGCGATCGTATAATTTAACTCTTGGTATAAACTTGTTTCATTATAATTATACAAATATTTTTTACAAACAGATGACGATACATATTTTCTCTTTTCTCTTTAAAAGAAAAAACACATAAAATATGGGAAAGTCATCCTTTTTAACGCCTAAAACTGTTTTTTTTTTTTTTTTGCTTTGACTTAATGAATTTTGTTGCCGATAATAATAACCACTAAGAAAAAAACAAAAATAAAAACAACACAAAGTTTTTAAACTATTATTCAGGCCTTCTCGTAAGAGGCGTGTGATCGCACACCTTATATGACCACGGATATAGTTCTTTATTTGAACAAGTTGACCACGACTCATTGCAAGTTTTGATTATTAGCGCGTTTAAAAAATTGCGCTAAAAAAAACAAAGCAAATTAAAATAAACAATCCATAAACTTAAAAGAGAATAAAATCCTTAAAATAATATATATATCAAAAATTAACTTAAAAAAGTAAAATATTTAAAGAATGATAAAATAATTTTGCTTTAATTTTGCTTATTCAAACATTGCCGTTTGATTATGATTTTTCAAAACGAACGCATTTTTTCAAAATAATTTTGCGATCATTAGTTTTTTATTTATTACAAAAAACACTTATTTAAAATGAAAAACAATTTATTAGAGACTTTTTTTAAAAAATGCCAAAACATAATTACTTTTTTCAATAGCTTCACTTATAAGTAAAATAAATAGAAATTAATTATGTTTTAGCATGGTTTTTGCATGCGCTCACAAAAGTATGGATAATTTTACATAAAATAAATCCTTTTGCAAAAACATCCAAAGAAACCGTCCAAAACAATTCAATTGCTTTCTTTTATTGAAGAAAGCGATCATAATGTTTAAGCTTGGTTTCTTTTCTGTTTTTAGCAATTACATTAAAAGTTTAAAGCAAATAATTTCATTATAAATAAAATTGTGCATGTTTTTTTTCTTAATTTTATTATTTTCCATAAAGTGAAATAATGTTTGTTTGCATAATTAAAAACACTTTTAAAAGTTTTTTTTATTGTGCATTTATCATTAATTTGCGCGCGCTTTGCAAATGTGTAAAAAATAGTTTTAAAAAAATAACAATTGAATTAATTTACCAAGCATCTTTGATATATTTGATAACTTATTAACTAAAATAAAAATTATTTGAAATTTGTTTGACATAAATCTCTTAAATTAGATGTTCGTCAATAAATAAAGATACGCAAGTCAACATTCATTAAAAAAAATGGTACGTCACGCCCTGGTATAAAAAATTGTTGGCAAATGCGACTGTTTTAAGATTATTTTTTTATAGTAAATAATTTTTCTTTTTTTTAGTCAATAGTTTCTTTATTAGAAATTATATTTCCATGATAAAACGGTTTGTTATTATTTTTTGATAGCTTCTGTACTCATTTTGTCTTAAACTCTAATCTGAATTTTTATTCAACGATTGCTTTTACTAAGTTTCATTAAAGTACTCGTGGCAGTTTAATTGTAATTGTGGAATCAATTAAAAATCGCATTTACATTTGATTAGTTTTTTTTTGCCCATTTTTTAAATGCGCTAATTATTAAAACTTGCAAAGAGCCGTGGTCAAGTTGTTTAAACAAAGAACTATATGGTCATATAAAGCGTCCGATCGCACGCCTCTTACGAGAAGGCTTGATTATTATTGTTTTCTATTTAAGTTTACTTTAATTTCTTATGTAGTTATTAAATTTAAAACAATTTTTCACTAACGCATATAATATAACTTGCGCAAACGGCTGTGATTATGTTCTCTAACTTGAAAAACGTTTTCGTGGTCGTACGAGACAAAAAGCTGCACTCCTTTCCTGGGAAGGCTTGATATATATATATATATATGTGTGTGTGTGTGTGTGTGTGTGTGTGTGTGTGTGTGTGTGTGTGTGTGTGTGTGTGTGTGTGTGTGTGTGTGTGTGTGTGTGTGTGTATATATATATATATATATATATATATATATATATATATATATATTATATTGTACTCAATCCATAGGTTAGGTTGCAATTTCCTGATATCATTTTTGTGCTCTAAACGTAAAAAAGTTTTATTAATTTATTAGAAAAAGAAGAAAAAAAAGAAAAAAAATGAAAGAAAAGATTGCTGCCCCATCTTAAACCCTCAGTCAATGTAGCAGCATTCCGTTGCGAGTCAGGCTATTTGTCAGTCAATGTATGTACTGAAGCCCCCGCAACTCCCTGTTTTTTTATGACATCATCCACCTGCATCTATTGCTGTATTTATATATATGTGTGTGTGTGTGTGTATATATATATATATATATATATATATATATATATATATATATATATATATATATATATATATATATATATATATATATATATATATATATATATATATTAGGGTGTGTCATCCACCCCCTATATTCTAAAAAAGATCTGTTCATATTCTTAAAACCTTCCATTGGTTCTCACAAGCAACTTTATTAAATTTTATCAAATTTTTATTGGATTTATGGCGAGCACCAGACCCTTGAACACTTTTCAAATTTTTATCAGATTTAGGGGGAGCATCATACCATTGAACACTTACCATGTCCCTAATAGTATATAAAAAAATGATCTGAAGAGTTTTTTTGCAAAAAAATGACTTTTTTTAACCTAAACATGAAAAAAGTGTATTTTTTCAATAATCACTTAAAAAATAATTTTAAATAATAATTTTTTTATAAAATGATTGTTATTTTAAAAAATTTTATTTAATTTTGCTTCTTTTGAGACCTAACATGACATACTTTATAAAAACTTTTTTTATGTAATATTAGGGACCTGGTAAGCGTTCAAGGGTATGATGCTCCCCCTAAATCTGATAAAAATTTGAAAAAGATTAATAAAGTTGCTTGTGAGATCCAATAGAAAGTTTTAAGAATATGAACAGATCTTTTTTAGATAATAGAAGGCAGATGTCACACCCTAATATATATATATATATATATATATTTATATATATATATATATATATATATATATATATATATATATATATATATATATATATATATATATATATATATATATATATATATATATATATATATATATATACATATATATATATATATACATATATATATATATATATACATATATATATATATATATATATATATATATATATATATATATATATATATATATATATATATATATATATGTATATGTATATATATATATATATATATATATATATATATATATATATATATATATATATATATATATATATATATATATATATATATATTATAGTTATTTTTATAAAACTGTTTGTGATAGCGTCACAAGTTATTTGTTTGTTATGTTGATTATAGAAATATTATTAATTGTTATTATTATTAAAATATAATTGTTATTATATTAAAATCACCTCTGGATTTACTTAAATTATTGTCATCAATAGTTTGAATTTTGTCTAATTTTAGTCAATTAGAGAAAAAATATCTGGAGAATTTAAAGTAAGTTTAGCTTGTTTCTAATTTATAAATTTTTTAAAATAATAAATCTCTATTTTAGTTACAAATGTGATGATTTCATTATTAACGATACAAGCACTGGAGATATAAATCTAATTCGCACTGCACTACAAAATGAAATTCCAAGGTTAGTGGCTAAATTGCTGATAAAATCTGATGTTTACAAGCGAGCGAGTTTGATGAGTGAGTTTACAGCCAAGTTATATATTGATGGACAGTTTTAGGACCAGAAAGCCAAGTTCTAAGTTTCTAATCTTCAGAAATAGAAAGGTTTGAAAAAAGTTCAAGATTATCTGAATATTTCTTTGAAAATGAACCAAATAATTTATTTTATTTAACCTTTTTAAATGAGTTTAGAATCCAGAAGCGAAAAAGGAGACAGTCTATTGATCAACAACTTTCAAAAGAATCGCCTATGAAAAAACTTAATCGATCTCCCTCAAAAGTAAAAAAAAAAGTTTTTATAAAAGTTTTTTTTGTATTTTAATAATAGCGGTTTCATTACATCATTGATTTATTTTATCATTACACAACATTTAGATTATTACATCTCAGATTTTTGTAACCTCTTATGTCACTGTTTTATAACATTACATCATAGTTTTATTGAGTTGTTACATCTAACAGTCTTTTGATTACAATTGGAAAATCTGGAAAAACAGTTATTTTACTGAAAATTATTTTATCAACTTTTATTGTATCTAATTTATTACATTGTGATGAACATTGTTTGTCTAATACAATGCAATCAAAATGGTATATACATATCCGTTCTTAAAATTTGGCATTTCAATTATTCTTTAACAAATAGAAATCAATGTCATTAAATACTTTCAAGTATTTAGCGACATTGATTTCTATTTGTTCCTGATAGTGTACAAACCATTTTAGTTGTTGTTTTTAGATTTTTTAAATTTGGTTGGTTTTAAATTAAATTTTTCTTAAATTTGGTTGGTTTTAAATTAAATTTTTCTTAAATTTGGCTGATTCATTTTGATTAAATCATTTAAATTTTAAACCTAATAAAATACAGAGATGCATAAACTGTTAATGTCAGATTTAAAAAAGGACACTATTGTCTATTATATTAATGTAAAACCCTTAAAATTGCCCTATTGTATTTTTAGAAGAGATTGACACGGCTGCAGCATATTAAAAAGAAAATTAAGTTAAGGCTTAAAGAACTATATTTAATATATTTTAAGTTCTGTGTGTCAACCTAGTTCTGCATATTAACATAAGAGTTAGCAAGATGTACTTATGCAGAACATGCATATGCTCCATGCATGTTTTTTTCTCCATATTCATTAATTATCTTCAAATAATTAAAAATTCAATAATTTCATCTATATTGATCTAACCAATAATATGTCAACAAAAGTTACTGTAAAAGTTAAATGTTAATATGAACTGGTTTACTTATAGGGCACAACAACAGAAATTGACATTTTCTCTATCTATAATTAGAACAAATAGATTTAAGTATATTAAATTTGGACATGGAAAAAACACAAAATTTTTATTTTTCCAACTTAGTACTATAAAAAATTAACAACTCGCACACACGCACTCACAACAAAATTAAGGTCGGCATTCGGTAATGCCGGCCTTAATTTTGTTCAAAAAAAGGTCAAAAAAAGTTTTCAAATTTTTAAATCAAATTTCTGTTTTATTTACCAACTTAAAACAATACCATAAAACCACCTTTTGCTGGTCACACATTTACAATTTCTTTTATTTTTATTTACTAAAATGGGAAGTGATTTCTCTTTATTAATTTCAATAATGTTAATAATGATAATGTTGGCGTTTTGTACTTCATTAGTATCCTAAAAATGTCAAATCATTTGTGTTTTTTAAGTGAGATTATATTTTTTAAGTGAGATGCATATATATACTTCTTTAAAAGTTTTAAAGAAGTTTTAAAAAAGATGCATTTATATACTTCTTTAAAAGTTTTTTTTTTATTTTATTTTTAAATTTCATTTCATAATACACTTAACTTTTTTCAGAAAAGTTTTTATTTTAAATATGATTAACAAAAGTGTGTACATTTAGGAAAATAAAGCAGGAAATAATGTTCGCACTGTCGGATTGCGCAATCTTGGAAATACATGTTTCATGAATGCAATATTACAATCTTTAAGGTTATTGTTTTAATATTTTAAATTTTTTATTATAACAAATTACCATGACAGCATCATCTTTAATATTTTTAACTCAGGCAGTATAGAACACAGAACAAGAACACAGGCAGTTTATTGTAGTGTAAAACACTGTACCTATAAGCCACATTTACAACAAATATTTACATAGAGTAATATAGTAGTTTTCAAATATGACAGCACATTTAATTGCATCATCAGTATAATACACTAATGTTAATAGAATCATTTTTTTTTTTAGATTGTTAAAAAATAATAATAATTAATAAATGGTTTTGGGTTTATAACCATTGGTTTATTGATTATTTCTTTATTTGGTTAATTATGCCTTGGATCTATCATAATTGTTTTTTTGTTTTAGCAATTTGAAATACTTCAGTGGTTATTTCAAAGAGTTACCTGCAATAGAATTGAATGTGAAAAATATGGATGAACAAACAAAAAAGTATTATACACGAAGTTATCAATCTGATGACATGTAGGTGAAAATAATAATAAGTTGAATATACGTAAATTGTAAATCAATGAATTTCTAATTTTTGTCTCTGGTTTCATTCTCTAGCTCATTAGTTGAGGAACTGCGTAAAGTTCTTTGTGCACTATGGCAACAAGGTTCAAATACAGCTATTTCGCCTGAATCACTTTTTACTGTAGTTTGGAAGGTTGTACCAAGATTTAGGTTGTTGTATTTAATGTTGAATTTTTAATGCTCTTACTGTACGCTTTGATCACTGTTTTAAATTGTTAATTTTTCAAATAGAGGTTATCAACAGCATGATGCTCACGAGTTCATGCATTGTTTGTTAGATCGTGTACATAATGAACTTTTAACATCAAAAAGATTTACAAATGGCTGCGATACAATTATATCAGGAATATTTGGAGGACAACTACAAAGTGATGTATATTCTGAATTTTTTTTTTTTTTTGTATTTTCTATATTGTGTTCTTTATTTTCTATATTCTATTTTATATGCAAACTTTCATTTAAAAACTATAAAAGCAAAAAAAGATTAAAACAAATGTATTCTGATGAAAAATGCTATTTATCATTAAGTTTGCACACAATAAATAATGAAAAGTTTTTAAAAGCATGTCATTAGCTTAACTTGAGTTTCTATAAAGTTCATCTATATAAAAGTTTCTTTAAAGTTTGTCTATTCAAAAGTTCTCTGAAGTTTATCTTTAAAAGTTCTATGAAGTTTGTCAAAAGAGGTTTGCATATCATAAACAGATTTCTAAATTAAAAGTTAAATAGAATAATTTTGAATCCTAATTAATATTTTTTTTAAGCAGTATAAGTTAATTCCTCGAAAGTTGATTAATAACCACAGCCTTAATCTAGTCTTCAATCCTGTTTTGGCCTCAATAATGTTATTAAGGTAATGGTGTTGTTATTAATTGATATATCTTGATGAAAAGGGGTTGCATCAGCACCTTATGAGATTATATCAATTTACAGAATAGCAAACTTCATAAATCACTTTTCTTCCCTGCATCGACTTGTAAAATATCAGATTAGAATTATTATATGAATGTAAAGTTAGTTGGTTTTATACATTAAATAATAATGGGTATGATATTACCACAAAGCATTTATTTGATATAACATATTGATATATTTGAAAATTCTGTTGATCCTTAAACTATTCAAGATCAAAAAATCCTCCAACACGAACCTTCTATAACTTTAATTCTTGTGTGGTTACTACTTAACAGTTTAAAAATATTTTAAATTCTTGAATTTTCTAAACAATTTTATTAGTTCAAGAATTTTCTATAATTAAAAGTTTTTTGACGAATTTCAAAGTATTATCTTCGTTACTGTTGGAGCGAAGTTATTGTAGAAAAATATTTCTATTTGTTTTAGTCTTAAGTTAGGATAACACATTTTGTACCCAGAGATAAAAAAAAATTTTACATCTATATAGTAATTTTTTTAAAGAAACTTCTTATTTTTGATTTATGAATAAATTTTTATTCAAATCTCTCTGGTTTTTATTTTTATTTGTTTAGGTAACTTGTCTCACGTGTGGCACTATCTCTAAGAAACAAGAAGCTTATCGAGGTAAGTTAACTATGTGCATGCACATAAACAAATAGTAAGAGGCTTTGCTGGTAGTAGCCGGATTTCATCCCTATCTGCCCCCCAGACCCATTTAAGTCTATATGGGCAAAAAAAAAAGATCTTGCAAAATTATTTTTTTTTAAATAAAGCCTATATGTAAATGTTTTTTATAGTTTTTTATAATAACTTCTTTTTTTAAAGTCTGAAGAATTTTTTCATGCTGAAATAAATGACACTTTTTATGTATATATTCTTGTAATATTAACATAACAAATATATGCTTGACATGGCGCAACAAATATACAAAGGTGCAAACTTTTGTTTAAAAAAAAAAACAACAGAAAAATGAGTTTGGCGTTTTTTATATTTTTGCATATGTGAACGTTGGTGTTTGCTTAAAATTTTTAACAACACACACATTACTTTAGCAATTATTTTTCCAAAAAATAATGCGGTTAATACTTTTTTATTTATTATAAAAAACACATATTTATAATAAAAAACAATAAGTTTAAAATGCATTTTAACGGCTTTAAAAGAAACTGTGTTAAAACATGATTATTTCTTTAAATAGCATTATTTTTAAGTAAAATAACTAAGTATGCTATCAAAGAAAGTAATTATGTTTTAGCATGATTTTTTCATGCCTTAACATAAGCATGCAAAATTTTACTTAAAAAAAAAATGCTTTTTCAATTACTTTAAAGGGACTACCAAGTCCCGAGACATGTTGTGTTCATATTAAAGAGAATGTTAAAAAAAAACATCTGAACAAATTTTTTTTGATTAAAACTTATTAATAAATGTGTGAAAAAAAAATCTTGTTGCTTTAGTCGAAGCTTGTCTTCTCCATTTTCTGCGGTATTTTGAGTATGTAAAATAAACGCGATTTTCCAGGCGCATTATACAGACTTGATAATTTATTCCAGCGCGTTTAATTCATAGGAGTTTTAATGCATGACATCATAGTTTGTTTTTTTTTTTTTTTTTTTTTGTTTAAAACACCGATTGGTATTTTTTACAGACAATTTCCAAATCATATTTATTTTTATTATATTTTAAAGTTCTAAAATGTGTTTGCAAAACAAAATTAAAAACAAAATAAAATTAAAAACAAAAATAAAATAAAAAACAAAATAGTATTTTATTTGCGCAAATTTTTTTAAATAATCGTCAAGACCACGTGTATTTTGATTTCTTTTGTTATGAGTTTTTCTTTCAAAATATTAGATAAAATAATTTTTAACCTAAATAATAATGCACTTTTATTAATTTACTTTGTAAATATTAAAAAAAAAATTATTAACGCATTTTTTCTCTGATTTTCAAAAATGTATTTTTTGGTATTGAGGTGATCTTATTTCATTATTTATATTTCCATTATAACATCCAATATATATTATGGCAGGGGCTTAAAAATTAAAAAATTAATATATATTAATTTTTATTTTACAGACATACACGGAAACATAATTAACTTGAATGTTCTTAAAACATCTTGCGGAAGAATAAAAAGAATATTCGCGAACACTAAAAACCTGCCAAATTTGCGAACAAACTAATTCTATTGGTTCAAAAAACACGGTGACTAAGCGAAATAAAGTTCTAGAGTATTCTGTTGAAATGTTTTAGGAATTGTATTATTTACGATTTGTTGCGTTTTGAGATATCTAGCATAAATTTTTTTAAGAATATATTATCAAATGAACTATTACTTTAATATTATGGCTTATTCTCGGAGCCACATCTGTAAAGCCATAAATCTTAAACTATTTCATTTGTTTACAAATATAAATGTTTTATAATATATATTTTTTAAATTGTCAAAATTTTGAAAGTTAATTACAAATTATATATTTTATTAGTATATTCTTAATTTTTTTATCTTTTCTTAGTACTTGGTTTAATTAATTGTTCGTAAGATTTGAAAAAACTAACGAACAATTAATAAAATAAACTTTTAATAAAATAAGTAACTATAGTTAGCTATTTTAGTAAAATTTAATAGTAAAATTTTTAAAGAATTTCTAGAATGTTTCCAATGACGTCATGCTCTAAAACTCCTATGAATTAAACACGCTTGAATAAATTATCAAGTCTGTATAATGCGTCTGGAATATCGCGCTTATTTTACATACTCAAAATACCACAGAAAATGGAGAAGACGAGCTTCGACTAAAACAACAAGATTTGTTTTTCTTGGTACACATTTATTAATTAGTTTTAATCAAAAAAAATTTGCTCAGATGTTTTTTTTTAACATTCTCTTTAATATGAACACAACATGTCTCGGGACTTGGTAGTCCCTTTAAAAGAAACCATGCTTAAACATTACGATTGATTTTATCTTTTGCAAGCTTTTTCTTTTTTAATTTTCTTTTTTTTTTTCTTAAAGTGAAGTAATGCTTATTTGCATATTAAAAACATTTCTAAAATGTTTGAAAAGAATTTTTAAGTTTGACTGAAATGTATACAATCTAATAGAATATATAGAATTAATATATTTATTATAGTTTTTATTTTTTATTGTGCATTTAACAACACGAATAACATGATATTTTTATTAACTTATTATTAAATACTTAAAATGATATTATTTTTTAAAGTTTTAAAAAACAAATGTCAAAACAACTTTTATTTTATTTTTAGCCCCTTTTATTTTAATTTCTTCAATTTTATATGTTTTTTTTTTTATATGTAAATAAATTAAGCAAATTAAATTGAGAAAAATTCATTATTTAGTATCAATGGATAATTTACAATCGTTAGGTCATTGCATATTTATTATCATTAATTTGCATGCACTTTGCAAATGCATAAAAAATTGTTTTAAAGAAATAAAATTTATTAAGTTCATCAAGCATCATTGGTATATCTAATAACTTATTAACTAGAATAAAAATTATTTGAAAATAAAACTTCCTTATATGACATGTATCTCTTAAATAAGATGTTTGTCATTAAATAAAGATACGTATGTCAAGATTCATTAAAAAAACAATTTTTTGTGCCCTGGGCTTGTAACAAGTATAAACCCAAATTTTTTATTTATTATATATATATATATATATATATATATATATATATATATATATATATATATATCAAAACCATTTAAAAATTTTTTAAACTTTTTCCCATTATAGTGTTAGAGTACAATGTAAAAATAATTCAAAATTTTAATAAGTATTCTAGAGCTTCTACAAAACCTCTGAAGAAGAAGAAAAAAAACAACCCTAATTATCTGTTTGGAACAAAATTGTTGTTTTCACAGAGAAATAGTTATAATGATTATATTTAACTTAGCTAAAACATAGAAACATAGAAATAGATAGAACAAAAGAAAAACATGAATAGCAACAATGACTAGTTGTGCGTTTTCAGTTTAAAATGTTTAAGTGCGTTTTTAGGTTGAAATGTTAGACAGGAACCCTGATAATGAAATGAAGTTTTGTTTATAAATGTTGTTTTTTTGTTTTGTTTTTGTTTATAAATTAATTTTTTTTTTTTTTTTTTTTAATAATTTGTTTTGTTTAGAAATGTTGTTTTTTGTTTTTTTGTCCAATAGTTTTTTTTACCAAAATTAAGATATTGCTGACTGTGATTTTCAATGCCCTGCAGCAATCGTTTTATTTGTTCTGGATCACTGGTTATGATGGAAGTAAATTCTAAAATCAGTTTTACTCCTCTTAATGCAATATCAATTATGATTTTTACCATTAAGGTCTTATTAAATTAACAAACCAGTTTGACAAGTGATTTTGCAAAAAACTGGCACACCCAAGCTCTCAGGTACTAAAACTTCCAAGAGTTTGAATGCCATATCTTGTTTCACATTGAAACTGAAATGTTTGCTGAACAGAGCAAATGAACTGTCTTCTCTGTCAAACACTATTAGTTTCCAACATTTCACTTTTGGCTCTAGAATACTTGTTAAATCCTGAAAAAAATATTTTTACATTTTTTACAAGTTTGTTTAATTGAATATATATATATATATATATATATATATATATATATATATATATATATATATATATATATATATATATATATATATATATATATATATATATATATTCTTATAGTGTAGTCGAAAGAGTCTTTTAATGTAAAAAAAGTCTCTTTCGACTACAATTTTAATTACCTCGTCTCTTAAGCTGTTTTTGATTGTCGTCGAAATGTCAAAGCAATTAAATTAATGCGGAAGTACATTAAATTTTATTGTTTTTTAAAAAATTTTTAAAAAACCGCAATAATAATGACTAGAAAGTTTTTTTAAATTAGTGGTGTTTTTGTTTTATTAAAAAACATTTTTGAAACATGCGTAAATGTTGCTACATCGACTATCTTATAGCCTGCTGCTACAAGGGAGTGTTTCTACATCGACTATCTTATAGCCTGACTCGCAACGGAGTGCTGCTACATCGACTGACAAATAGCCTGACTCGCAACGGAGTGCTGCTACAACAACTGACAAATAGCCTGACTCGCAAGGGAGTGCTGCTACATCGACTGACAAATAGCCTGACTCGCAAGGGAGTGCTGCTACAACAACTGACAAATAGCCTGACTTGCAAGGGAGTGCTGCTTCATCGACTGAGGGTTTGGTTTGGGCAGGCAGTCTATCATTTAAAAAAAAAAAAATTTTAAGTTTTTAAACTTTTTCTGGTCTGGTTTATTAACGCGCTCTACAGTTTATAAACTACAGTTTATGGGAAACTCTTTCTGACTACCATGCAAGAGTGTATATATATATATATATATATATATATATATATATATATATATATATATATATATATATATATATATATATTTAATAAAAATTTCTTACAATGTTAAAAACTGTTAAAAAATATTTACTTCATAATAACTAAATTGTGTTATTACATATTGAAATAAATATGACCTTTTTATAACTTAAAAATTTTTTTTCTTCAGATTTATCACTTGATATTCCCTTTAAACCTAAACTAAAAACGTCACCTGGTAAAAAGAAAACACCCAGTGCTTGTCAACTTATTGGTAAGTAACACCCAGTGCTTGTCAACTATTTTGACAAGCACTGGGTAAGCTATTATTGGTAAGTATATTACAACAGCTTACTAACACAAAAATGCTGACTAAGCTGTTAATACGATAGAACTTCATATCTTGTTATATCATACTTTACAGTTATTATAAAATTTTTTAGTATTTTAGAAAGACATGAATTGGTTTTAATTTGTTAGTTTAAAAACATAGCAATTACAAAAAATTAAAATAGTTAAAATAGCAGAACATTATTAGTGTAAAAGGTGTTAAACATCCTCAATGACAAATACATAACAATTCAAAAAGACTAAGTAATTGAACTAAGATACCACAAATTTGAGTTTAATAAGTTTTACTGTTTGAGAGGTTATATTTAATTTGGATCAAAAAGATCAATATTAAATATATCTTTTTAATATTATTTGTGTGAGGCAATTTTGTTTTAACATCTTCTGTTTGTCCTGTGTTGTTTTTCGGTTCAAGGATGGTTTCTTCAGTCTGATTTCTAAGAATGGATCCTTGAATAACACTGCTATAAATGAATTTAGAAGTTGATCTGAAGTTGACTTTATGTTGACAATTTGACTTAAGCACTTTTTGATTTATTTCATATAGATTAAGTTTATCCAGCAATAAGCCATGAGCTATGGAGTCAAAAGTATCTAGTAGGTCCAAAAAAATTGTCCTAGCCATGTTCATATTATTAATCTCTCTTTTAATATTATCACATAATATTGTAGCAGCCAACTTTGTATATAGATTTGTCATTGACTGTTGATGTAAACCTCTAGGTATTTTTTTTTTTGACTTTTTAGAAAATAATTAATAAAAGTATTAGGAATTTCAATTTAATAAGCACCTATACAACATATAATGTAATGTCACAAGGTCATTTAATACCGTGTATTTAATCAAATACACATTTACTTATTACTAGTGGTGCTTACATTTAGCACTTATTCTCAATGTACTGACGAAACACTAAGCTTTCGCGCCAATTCATCATTGACTTGTCAATTAAAAAGTTTTTATCAGGTGTTATCAGTTACAATATGGACTTTTATGAAGCAGAAGTTATTTAATCTTTTGATGTTTCACTTTTTAATTTCTTAGTGCCTTCTTAAAGTAAATTAAAATAGAATGTAATTCATTATTTATTTATTTTTAGACTGTTTACAGAGTTTTGTTGAGATGGAAACATTAGATGAATCTGAATGGTATATGTGTGAAAAATGCAATAAAAAGCAACCATCCACCAAGAAATTTTGGATACTCCGTTTACCAAATGTGAAAATTTTGTTTCCTAATGTTATTTATTTACATAGTAATAATCAATAGTAATAAAAAGTACAAAGAAATACAAAAAAAACTCGATCTGTCACAGCTGTTTAACAGCTTTTTATGGTTGATCTAAAGTTTTTAATTGTTGTTTATTTTTTATAAGATTTATAAATAAGAAATTACATAGTTACAAAATTAATCAATTACAAATTTAGATATATCATAAAAATCACAGCTGTGACAGATCAAAAGAGTTTGTTTTTTTGTATTGTGTGTGTATTTCTTTATAATTTTTTAATAAAATTGTGTTATTAGTTGACAATTATTTTTAGTACTTTTAGTATTTAGCATACATGTAGTATATGTTTTAAGTGGTTTTCTATTATTAGGTACTTTGCTTACATTTAAAAAGATTTCGCTATTCACCACTTGCTCGTACCAAAGTAGACACATTTGTTCGATTTCCTATTAAAGAACTTAATATGGATCCTTTTATATTAAAAACTAACCAGGTAATAGACGTGGTAATAAATGGTTTCTTTTTGTTTTCATGCATAAATTTATTCAACATAACTGTTATATCTAATTGTTATATAAACTATATGTATATACATATAGTTTATATAACAAGGACTTAATAGATTTGAAAGTCACAAAAAAATTTCTTCTTTCTAAATTTTTGGAATCCAGGAGCTCTAAAAATATAAAAAAACTTATGGATTACTAATAGGAAAAAAAGACTTTTAAGTAAAAGAAACAATCATTTTTTAACCCCAGAGTCCTTAGGTATAATGGTGGCAAGGACTCCGGCTTAAAAACAATAAATTCCATGTCATTAAATTTCGTGGATTTTTTTTCTTATAACAGATCATAAGTCAAACAATATTTTTACAGTTTCTGGACGCTACAGACCTAGAAAAAATAGAGATATAAAGCTGGAGTCCTTTTGGGTACTCCGAAATATAAAGCTGCAGTTTTGGGTATTCCGCATCCCCGTTGCATATTTATATTATTATGTGTAGAATCTTTTTCCCTGTTGCATATTTATATTATTATGTGTAGAATCTTTTTATTATTAAAATATTTAACAAAAATAAAGATATTTAATATTTAGTGATAACATCCAAATCAAAATTTATGAATAACAAATAGTTAGTAAATTTAACTATAATAATTTAATAATGGACAATTTTTTTTTTGCTCTGATGACATCATACAGTTGCCTCTGAATGATTTTTTAGAAAACAAATCGCATGTCCATCAAAGCTCATCTTTATGACTTGGCAGCATGTGTTGTACATCACGGAAGTGGGTAAGTTAAAAATGTTTAAGCAGTTTTTTACTAAAGTTTTTCCTTAAATCATTATGTTTAAATTAATGGGTAATTTATTTTTAAAGTGCTGGATCTGGCCATTATACAACTTATGCAAGACATGAAGGTAAGTCTTTATTTTTATGACACTGAGCAAAAATCTATCAAAGGTGTAAAAAAAACAGAAGACATTAAATTATTCTAGTGATGTTTTATAACAAAATATATTTTTTGAGTCACAGATTTGTGCTGAATTGAAATTTTATCATTTTAAGTGACCTGCTATTGAGTAACTCTTTTTAGGGTTTAAGTAACTGTGGGTTTTAGGGTCAATTTGGATTATCTAAGTGTGTTGGATATCAAAATATATACTTAAAAAGTAAGGAAGTGTATATCTAACTGTAAATTTAATCAATTAAATATCTACTACTAACTGTCTGCAAGAATCTTGCGCAATTTTTGAATAGAAAAAATAAAATTTAAAGCAATGCACAGTTGTCTGAAAAACTAGCCAAAACTAAATATTTTAGTTAAAAATTGTAGGTGATGATTTCCGTTTATTTTTTACAAGTTTTTCATCAATATTTTTGAATAAGAAATAATAAAAATCACAGGCGAAAATTCTTAAAACTAGTCATAAATAGGGTATTTATTTTTTTCATGAAAAGCTAGTATTCTAATTTTTAATTTAATAATCAATCTAAAGATATATAAGTCAATACATTAAATTAAAAACCATAATATAAAAAGTATACGTACATAACGGAATAACAAAGATATGATTAAAAATGTGGTATTAAAACAACACAAATACAGTGTCAATACAGTATGTTTTGCAATGAATATAAGTTCTTTTGTTTTATTTATATGCAGCTGATTTTTTTAGAAATTATTAAGCGATAATAGATGTTCAAAATATACTATAAATATAATGTTTTAATAGAGGAGCTTGCATTTTACATGGATTTTAAGTTTACTAAAATATGCATTTTTATTTTATTCTTATAAAATATATGGAGTATTTTATAAGAATAAAATAAAAATGAATACTTGAACTCTTTTTAATAATATAGATAGCAAGTACGATTGTATAAAGAAAAAAAAAATGTTTTTGAACATGTATTTTTAGAAATAAAACAAAAATAGAGACACTAGTATTTTTGATAACATAAAATAGGTATATTTTGGGAGCTTTAAAGTTGGTTTAAGTAGTTACATATGTAGATGATTTTATTTTACTAATAATACATTTGTATTAGGATTTATTAAAATGTTGTATTTTTGAAAGAAATTATTAATCTTGGATACAGTTATTGACTTTTCTTTCAAGAAAAAATATGAAACATATTTTTGAATAGCCTCGATAGTGTTGTGTTTAAAAATAATAAGAAGAAAAATTACAGATTTTTTTTTTTTAACTAAAAATCAAGTATTTCACTGCTGTGTTATTGTGCAATGTTAGTTTTTTTTTTTTTTATTGTTTATATTCAATAATAATAAAATAAAATCAGAAACCTGGAGTACTCGGCTAGCTTAGTCTTTCCATTTGGATTTAAAATTACTCAACACTGCTCTTTGCTTTCTATTCCTGAGACTTGGAGGTAAATATTTTCATTTTTCAATTTGGTCTTGAACAATTTTTTCAGCTATTAACAAAACTGTTTCTGTGTTGCTACATGCTTTTGTTTGTTAGTAAAAATCTGTTAGCTGGGCGGTTACTCTTCAAATACTGAGTATAAACTTCAAATACTAAATAAAAATACTTGTCTAATAATTTATACATGTTGTTATTATCAGTAGTAGGTCCATTTTTTGTGTCTTTAAGAGCGCAACTTAGTGGCCAATTTTAGAGTTCTTTTTTACAATCGGTTAGCTTTTTCCACTGTTTAATTTTCCACTAATTGTTACTTTAATAACATACATTTATAAAACGAAAAATTGCCAGAACAATATTTCTTGAATCAGTTAAGGATAATATATAATATATTATATTATATATTATCCTTAACTGATTCAAGAAATATTGTTCTGGCAATTTTTCGTTTTAAGTATAATAATAACTTTGCTGTCATTGAAATGCAGGAAATAACGTTCTTAGGTTCTTAGGACTTACAACTAGTAACCAACTTCGTTACTAGTCGTAAGTCGGCATGAAAATATGTTACTACTGGTCAGAAAAGTTATTGTAACAGAAACAACCGAAATGATGATGATTTAAAGATGAATTAAAAAAACAACTCAATAAAGATGAATTAAAAAAACAACTCAAAACCTTAAAACTACTGCCTAATTTCAGCACATTATGAAAAATATTATTATCTTTTAATGTGATTTTGATAAAAATATTTGAAACAGTAAAACAAAAAAAAAGCTGAAAGAGTTCAATGATAGCGATTGCGTGTAATCGAATATTTTTTATTAAAAAAAAAAAAAACTAGTTGGTCTTTTTCTTGCTTACAAATATATATGCTTCTCATCGAAGGTGAAACTGGGGCAAGTTTTCCAATAAAATATTGGATGTATCCAAGAAATGTTTTTAACTGGCTTCGCATTAATTACTTTGAATCAAAGTTCAAAAATATTTATCTAGTAAAGTAAATGCTTTATTAAGTTTTTATCACTTTTACTTAGGATTACTTGTAAGTAATATTTATAATAGAGTAATCAGTTTTTTTTTAAAACAGTTTTTCTTAGCATAACTAATTATGTTGTTTAATCCTTTATTTTTAGGATCGTGGTATAATTTTAACGATAGTAGTGTGTCACTAACTAATGAAGAATCTATTCAACACTGTAAAGCGTATATCTTATTTTATACAAGGCAATACCCTGATGTTAGTATTATCGAGCGTATTAAAAATAATTATGTATAATACCCGATTTTGTGGGTTTCCAGTTTTATAAAATAATGGTTTGTAGTGGTTTGCTTGATCCTTCTAATTTTCATTTTTAAAACTGATTTTTTTTTTTTTTTTTTTTTTTTTTTTTTTGTTATTGCAAACTACTCATGAACTAAACTTTACTAATATCTAATTTGCAAACACTTTAGTATTTTTAAATTATAGGAAAATAATGAAAATTGTTGTAGATGATCGGAAAATTTCTATTGTATATTAAAAATAATATTTCTTCAAATAATCTTGTTTTTTCTCAATAATATTCTTAAAGAAATATTACTATTTAAAAGTAATAATTACAATTGAAAATGTGAATGACTGGTGAAGATTTATGACATGTTTAATGCCAACAAACCTCTTTGAAATCCGCAGTCGCTGTGTTATGTAGCTTTGAAATCCGCAGTCGCTGTGTTATGTAGCTTTGAAATCCGCAGTCGCTGTGTTATGTAGCTTTTTTTTTCAGACAACATTTTGTTATCCAACTGAGAGAAAAAAAATAAATTTTTTTCAAATTGCTGTAATTTGTTATTACAATATTTTGTAACATTCTCCCACCGTATCTAGCTGAAAGATATGTGTAACGCTTTCGTCGTATCTAGGCTATCTAACGCCGTATCTAGACTATCTGCTATCTAACGCTGTAGCAAAATATTGCGCACATTTTTTTTTTTTTTTCAAGTTACATAACTTAGATACCTGAGGATGGAGGCACGGGGAAGATGCAACGTTATTGACAGCAGATACTGTTCTTGAATTCATGCTTTTAAAACTATTTGCTATGAATACAGAAATTGCATCTTTATTGCATTCAAATTTAAAAAAAAATTGATGAAAGAATTAACAGTAATGTTATGCATTTGTTAAAGTGTCTAAAAGATCCTTCAGCCATTAAAAAAAAACTTTAAATTTTGCTGGAAAACTTGCGTTTAGGCTTTTGGATTTACTTCTAATGATGAGGAACTACTACTATCTGAAGAACCATGTACAACATAGGAAAGCTAACCTGTTTTTCTTAAGGATAAATTAAATGCACTTCTCAATAAAGATAGCATCACACACTTGCCTAAATCTACTGATCAATTCAAATGGCTTAAGAAACGGCTTTAGTTTTTAGCTAAGTATGAATGAACTCCTAAACAATTGGATCCCAATCATGACTAGATATGGTATTGGTATTCGACCAGGAACCTGTTTGTTGACATATTTTTATAAAACTGGTGGTATTAAAATTGAGAAGTTGAAGATCTTAAGATCAACTCAGAACAGAAAAGCACACACTGTAGTAGAATCAAATGCCCAGATAATGGGCATTTTGAATCAAATGGCCCACTTTTCATGACCTGTATAGTTTGTTTCTTCATTGGTGTACTGCCATACAATTTTAATCTCAAAGTGAATCTTTAGCTTTTTTTTTTTAAGTCTGTTACTTTGTCCATGTTTTGCTCTCGGATTATCTGGGCATTTGATTCTACTACAGTGTGTGCTTTTCTGTTCTGAGTTGATCTTAAGATCTTCAACTTCTCAATTTTAATACCACCAGCTTTATAAAAATATGTCAACAAACAGGTTCCTGGTCGAATACCAATACCATATCTAGTCATGATTGAGATCCAATTGTTTAGGACTTCATTCATACTTAGCTAAAAACTAACTTTTACTTTTTCCTACAAAGAATTTTTTTATGCCTCCTACAAAGATCTTTCGGATCATTGTAGGAGGCATAAAAGCTTCCGTAGAGTCTGGAAGGCTACCACTGTCTGTGAACCAGGAAACTTCAAACTCTCTTTGTTCTAGTTCTTCTACCTTCATTTTATTCTTTTTAATCATTAAGCTTTTCATCTTGTGAGGGCAATTTTTCCTTCATTATTCTTATTTTATCCAGAGCCAAACAAGCATTTTTTTAAAATGCGGTATCAATACCCGCCATTACAACCACGCGTCCTTTGAGGCAATCCTTTAGGAATTCAATGTCATCATTTTAAGCCTCTTTGTTCCTCATTAGATTACTATTTTTTAAGTTAAAGATGTTGAGCTTATGAATTGGGAGTAAGAAATTGCTTTCATATAGAAATTTGTTAACTTTCTTGGAGTAGCTTCCTTCTGGTAGACTTAGAGTCTTTTTAGGGATTGGTCCTCATTGATCTTGTTGGTAATTTTTAAATGATGTAATACTTACAGGTTTCATTAGTCACAAAACTTGTAAATATTACACCTTTAATTTACGAAGTTTGTAAATGTTATATCTACGGCGAAATATGATGCGAAAAAGACAGTCACTAGAAATTTTCTGATTGACTGTGTCCGACTTGAGCGAACCATTCGTAAACCATCAGTTTGTTGTTACTAATCATGGCGGCGTTTCCTGCACTTCTCTCTAACCTACGTATTAAGAATATCTACAAATCTGTTTATAGCACATTTAGCATTATTTCAGAGAAAGTAGGTTATTAAAAATAAAATTTATATCTTAAATTAAATTTGATTGATTTCTGCTATTTATTGCTGATTTTTATATTACATTGTCACAACTATGTTGAACGCAATGCTATTAAGTTAGGTTAATTTTTTTAGAGGTAATAACGCTTTCGCACACTTTTTTTTTCTTCTTTTATTTGTAATTAAAATTTTTTACGTGAAATGCTGTAGAAAGTTGTGACCATTATTTGTAATTATCACCTTTTTATAACTTTTATAACTTGTTCACCTTTTTATAACTTTGTTTATAACTTTATTAATTATAAATTTGTAACAAAGTTTACATAAAATTTGTATCAATTTAAATCTGATAAAGACTTTATCAGATTTAAATTAATACAAATTTTATGTAAACTTTATTAAAGTAAGAAATGTTCTTTAAAAAATTGCGCCTTGTCTAAAAGTTCATTTATTTAACAATCTCATATTAAAAAAAAAAAGTGCTAAAACAAAAGGATTCCTTAAATACACATTAATTGAGTACCAAAACAAAAATTTAAGTTTTTCTTATATTTAAATTGTAAAATTATTTTTCCTGCATTTAAGCAGCAAAAATAATTTTATTTTTTTACTTATTGTGCTCTCATCTGTGGAGACTTAATACAGATACAGACTTATACTTTGACTATATTATAGCCTGCTGCCACAAGGGAGTGCTGCTGCATTGAATTAGAATTCAATTTCTTATGCCAAACCCTCAGTTGAGGACAACCAACTCTTGCGACAGCAGGGTGTATGATAGTTGATATATACTGAATCCAATAAATATTCCTTTATATTTAGAAAGTTTCCATGGATGAAATAATACAAATAATATAAAAAAAATAAAACTCTTCTATATTGTTTAACTGCAGGATAACCATATATATATATATATATATATATATATATATATATATATATATATATATATATATATATATATATATATATATATATATATATATATATATATATATATATATATATATATATATATATATATATTAATTTAATCTAAAACTTCTTTTTAGAAGCATTATTTTTATTATCTAAAAAGAAGTGGTCAAGCTTTCAAAAAAACAATTACATGCGTGGTCAAGATTGGAGTGCAATCGCATGCCTTTCCTGTCCACGACTGATATATATAACTTTAATCTAGTTATTTTAATGCTGATAGAAACCAATACTTTCTATTATACAGTTTAACAGCAATTAATTCATGTGACATTAGTTTTCACACTAAAGTTTTTTTTAACACCACCATAAAATGTAATTGTCTAATTTAACTATTTTAATTAGTAACTTTTAGGTTAATTTAATGAGGAGAAGGAAAACTCTAATGTAAAACCCCAGTTTAGTTGTGGGTATGAGTGTAAGATTTATGTAGATAAATATGAGTATAATATGTATGTGGATGTTTGAGCTTGTAAATGTAATATGTGTGTGTATCTGTTTGTGTGAGTATATAATTGAAGATAACTTGTTATCACTAAGACTTATATAAAAATGTGTCTGTGAGAACTATGGCTCCTCAGTTATCTCTATTTACCTTCTTTATTAAAAAAAGATTTGTATTTTTACCACCTTTATATTCTATTGTGTTTTTTTTATAGGCTTCTTTTTCAAAAGAATATAGACAACTGAGCTCTGATGTAAGTCTTCTTTTTATTTAAATTTCATTTAGTTAAAAAAAAATTAATAAAGAATTTAAGTTATAAAGCTGTCTAAGAATGTTTTGGTAGTTGACAAAATGAAAAGGGAGATTAACCAGGCCCTTATGTTGAAAATTTCTGATTTCTTTAAAGCATTCCCTGGTTAATTTTTTCCTTGGGTTTATATAAAGGTTTACAGATATTGCTGTTTGTGACAGTGTTTCATTGCTATCAAAAATCAAATGAATAGTTTTGCATAAACTTAGGCAGAAGATTTTTTTAGTTTAATAAGTTTCTAACAAGACTGCAAACAACCACTAATTAAGTTATGAGTTAACAGAAAACAAAGATATTAAATAACAAGCATGCAGTTATCAGACTTTAAAAACTATAAATTGTATGAATCAGGAAAAAAATAAAGACCAGAGATAACTCCAAAGCATCAATATTTAAGAAAAGAAAGTAGACAAATAAAAGTTTTTTAAGCATGAAGAAATAATTACAGTAAAAGGATGCCACTTTGCTGAATGACGAGTTATTTTATGTTGGGTTTTGGTTGATGGAACAAGTGTACAAGCTTGCTTGAGTATCAGAGATATTAGTATCAGTAAAAAAGAGATGCAACATTACAATGATGGGACAAAGGCTCAAAGTTGGAAGCAATATTGCAAGTTCAATATTTACAATGCATATTGTCCAAACCAGAATCTGTAGAGAACTGAAAAATAACTTTAGGAGCAGAAGCAAAAGTGGTTTGGATATTTAACATTGGATTAACCGTTTCTTTAGGTTGACAGGAAGAGTGTCATGCACTATCAATCAATAATAAATAGTGCATGACACCTTAAACATTAAGTTACACAGTTGCTTCCAACTAATCAACTCAAAGTAATAATAAAGAGCCATTTATGTGGCTATTTGTCTTGACAATCCATACCAAATGCACTAATAGGTATTCCTTCTATGCACAACAAGGCACTGTTAATACTCTGATATTTTACAGTTACTAATAGCTGGCCTCAGAAACATTAAACCGAGTTCTAGCGATATACCTGTATTTAGTGTTAATAATTGCATTATATATAAACTATTGTGTTGCGGCAGAAAGAATCATAAACTTCAATGTAGAACAACAAACTATTGGTGCTAATGCAGTCTCTCAAGAAAAATTGAATGAAGTATTCTCGCCTACTATTCATAAGCTGATTGATAAAGACTTCATAACAGAATTCAAAAATGGCAGTTGGAGCGGCTCTTGGAAATGGCTGATGGAACCACCAACTTTAACAAACGAAATTCCAAACTATCATATCTCTGAAGATGTTAAAAGTGAATATGTAATGGAAATAAGTGAATGAATAGCTCAGGGTTGGCTGAAACCATTAGAAGGGAGGTGTAATGGCATCATTCTGTTGATGGCTGTAATTCAACTAAACAAATTAAAAGTATCGTGACTACCATGAGCTGAATCAATTTGTATCCAGTCATACTGCAGATGGCAATGTTTGCAGTACCAAACTACTCAGCTGGATAAAGTTGGGAGAAAACCTTTAAATAATCGACTTAAAGAAAGCGTTTCCCAGATTCGTGTTGATGAAGCATTATGGAAATATCAAGTTGTGGAATATGAAGGGCAGCATTACTGTCTAACAAGATTGGGTTTTGGTTTGAATGTGGCGCCCAGAATAATGACTAAAATCTTAAGAAAGGTATTGTCATTAGACAAAGTTGTCAAGTCTGGAATGGATTCATTTGTTTATGACATCATTGCCAATAATGGCATAGTGTCAAGTTGCAGAGTTCAAGAACTCTTGAAAAAATGTAAAACTTGTTAGTGGTCATGTGCTTAGATTGAGAGTGAACAAACAATGCAACTAAGTCCGTTGGAAATGTGATAACATACCTAAAGTTCCTTAAGGAAAAATGACATTTGGGCAAATCTTTTCTTGGTGCGGACAGCTAACCACATATTTTCTAATAGCGAATTGGTTGCGTCCTTCGTGCTATCTGGAAATGGTCCAAAGGTCCACTAAAGATAGTATATTGGTATAACATGGCTACCAGAAAAAATGGCAAGGAAACATTGCTCCCCTACAAATCGGTATTTTTTTATAGGTGTAAACCACACAGAATTTCTGCTAAAACTAATGAGGAAATTCAACTTATATAAAAAAAAAAAAAAGATTTAATTTGATTGAATGTTCATAATTCATAACAGGAAACACTTTAACATGTTTACATTCATCCCAGTTTATTAGATGCAGGCCTTGTTTTAAATAAAAAAGTGCTTAACGCATTAGCTTAACGCGATATTGACGTCATAAAATTATCTTTATTTTTTTTTATAGACGTTAAGTGTTTAATTACCGCAATAAATAAATAACCGCTAACTAGTTCAATTTAACAATTAACTCAAATAACTATAATCTCAAATAAGTCTCAAATGTAAATTTATAATAAAAAGTTTGTAATGTTTTTAATTGTTATTTTATTATTAATTTTTACTTAATTAAATTTTAATTAATTAATACTCAAATAAGTCTTAAATGTAAATTTATATTAAAAAGTTTGTAATGTTTTCAATTGTTATTTTATTATTAATTTTAGTTCAAAATTTTTTAGTAAAATTAATAATAAAATTGTTATTTTATTATTAATTTTAGTTCAAAATTTTTTATATATATATATATATTAATTATTTCTGAAATTTGTTTTTGAATAATTGTTTATAAATCGTTATTGAATAAAAAATTATGATTTTTTTTTATTTTTAAAAATTTCTGGAGTAAACAAAAAATATTAACATTGATAAACAAAAACCCATGTTAATTATTTAAACAGCGATTTTGTTTTGACTAGCAAAGAATAATTTAGGTTTTTAAATATTTTTTTAAATTTATCTTGCTTAGCGTTTCAACTTGCGTTATATAAAAATATAAAAATGTTTTGTCTACTTTGAGCATATTTTTGATACGTAGTATAGAACGCGTTTGCCAGGAATTTAATTCATAAATTTTTTATGTTTTTGTAAAAATGTTTTACATTTTAAACAAATCACAAAGAAACAAAGCTATAGAGAAATATCGTTTTTAACGATTAAATCTTTTTGTTTTTAAATTTTAGGAAATTAAAAAAAAAATTAGATTAAATATAAAAGTCTTAATTATGCAAGCTCTTTTGTTAATTATTCTTAAAACAAAAAACAAATACTTCTCCGCAAAACTTTAATCGTGCTAACTTAAAAAAATACTCCACTAAAATAATATAAGTATATTTAATAATTTGAATCGTATCTGTTTATAATAAATGTTCGTAAAAATTTGTTAATCAAAAATTAAGTTCCTTAACTTATAAACAAACTCAAAAGTATAATTACAAAAAAAACGTTTAATACGTATAACAGGCCTTGCGATAAAGCGTCAGGCGATGTGAATTTTACGTCGTCCAAGAGCGATTTTGCGTGTAGCTAGGGCTATTTGCATCGAGCAAAAAATTTTTTGTTTGAGTATATTTAAAGATATTTTTTAGCGGAATTTTAATGAAATAATTTACGATTATTTTAACATTTAATAAAGTATTTTAAAAACCGCACGCAGTTGAAATAAAAGTTTGAATTAAAAAAAATTAAATATGCTCATTATTTACAAGCAGAAAAAATTCAGATTAAAAAAAAATTTTAAATCTTTTAAGCTAACATTTTAATAAAATTATTCAGCAAAAGCAAAATTGAACAAAAATACTTTCTTTTAGTTTTAGATTTTAAACTTAAATAATTATTTTACGGGGGTTTGTTGGGTTTTAAAATTATTCCATAGATTTAAAAATATTTATTAACTGTTAGACGTATTTAAAGTATTTAAGAGTAATTTCGAGGAAACATTTTAAAAATTGGTGAGCGCAAATAAAAAAAAAAAAAAAAAGGATTTATATTAAAACGTATTCTACTTGATTCAATAAAAAAGTACAGTTATTAAAATTTTTGTAAAAAGTAAGTCAAAAAAATTACTTAAATAATAATAATTTGTTGGGTTTTAAAATTATTCCATAGATTTAAAAATATTTATTAACTGTTAGACGTATTTAAAGTATTTAAGAGTAATTTCGAGGAAACATTTTGAAAATTGGTGAGCGCAAATAAAAAAAAAAAAAAAAAAAAAGGATTTATATTAAAACGTATTCTACTTGATTCAATAAAAAAGTACAGTTATTAAAATTTTTGTAAAAAGTAACTCAAAAAAATTACTTAAATAATAACGAATATAAATAGTAACGCTTTTATGTTAAAAGTTACCGAAACTCAACGAAGCGTGCTCAAGAACAGCTGCTGAAAAATAAAACTTCAATAGTTTTTCGAATAATTTTTAAGAATAATTTTTTCGCTGAAATATTTCTTTTATACCTATAAGATTTTTATTCTAACATTTTATTTTATTTTGCTAGAAATAAAATTCCTTGTTAACATTAAAAATCTATTCAAAGCGTTCGTTTAAGTTTTTTATTAATACAAGTGATTGTGCTTATCCAACCGCTTTATGAAAATAAATATAAATAAATAAATATTATATAAAATCGCTTGTAAAAATATTAGCTATTGCACAGTTTTTAATCGTACAATATTAAAATTTCCAGTTTATTACTCGCTGACTTTTTAAAAAGAAAAAATAATTATTTGAAAAACTTTAAATTACATATTTAAGAAAAAAAAAGCAAATATTAGCATATTTTATAATCTTTTTTAAATTTAAGTTATGTTTTTTATTCGTTTAGTATAGACAAAACGTGACAAACGTCGAGAAAATAAACAAATGTTTTTACATTTTAAAAAACGAAACATTCCAAAACATTTTTAAATAATAACATTTCTACATAAACGATTTAAAGTAGTTTTGCGGTAATTAAGTAAATTGGTGCAGTTAATGTCGATAAATATGAAAAGCAAATAAAAAGAATTTAATGACGTCAAAAATCACGTCGTACTTATGCGTCGCGCAGTTCTTATTCATCGCAAGGCCTGGTATAATTACAAAAAAAAAAACTCTTTTTTTTCTTCGTTTGTAAGCAATTTAACTTAATAAAATAAGAAAAGAATAAATATGAGGTAATCTTTGTTAAGAACAAATTTAATTTATTTATTAAACTTTATTTTAATTTTTATTTATATATCAACTTAAATTAAATATAGTAACATGTTAAAATATTTTAACATGACTTGTGTTATTTATAAACCGTAGGGCAGCTGCCCTTACGGCACAATTGTTTTAGGATAATATTTTTTTTTTGATGAAGATCACATAACTTACATTTGATTTTAATAATGTAAGTCTTCTCTTTTTCTGTGATCATCGCATCGGCAAAGCATCGACAAAGTCCCAAGATTTAAAAGTTTTTAAAGGAAATCTTTTGTCCTTCAAAATACAATCCATATTCGAACTTTAAAAAAATTGAGAGAGAATAGAAATATAAAAGGTTTTTATATACTAGTTTGTCTTGTTTTATAAAGAAAAATACATATTCATTAATAAAAAAGAGACTGTCATTAAACTAAAACGTGCCTTAGTATTTATTTAACAGAATCTGTAATGTGCGCGTGCATAATGAAACCTCCATTATATAAATATGTTAAACATAATATTAGTGTCATCAGCGGATGTTATAGTCTACTCGTGATTTCTTTACCTTAATAAAGGTAAAGAAATCACGAGTAGATTATAACATCCGCTGATGTTTTTTTACCTTAATCTTTACCATAATATAACTTGATCTATGAAAAAAATTTATTTAATCGCACGCAGAAGAAATTAAACAAATTGTCTTCATTCAAAAATTGAGAGTAACAGGTAATTTTTTTTTTCTGTGCTGGCCCCTTTCCCCCACATAACTTAAAAGCAAAGGTATTTATATACTTTTAACTAATAAGAAAAGCAAAGAGTAATAATTAATGAAGTAATTTTTAGAAAAATACAAATAGATTGTTCATTCATTGGTACATTTTTTTTTATATCTTGAAAAAGTGTCTTGATTTTTTTGTTATCATGATAACAAAAATATTAAAACGTTTTTTGAGATATTAAAAAAATGTCAACCCTTAATTACAAATTTTTTGCAAATGTTTTTTAATATGAATTTAGTAAAAAACTCTTAAAAAATCTATATTACAAAAAACATTTATATTCTGTATTAATAAGTTTGGAATATAGATTTTTTAAAAGTTTTTTACTGAAAACTTTGAAAAGTTACTAGTTTTTATTAAAAACATTTGCAAAAAATTTAAAGTTAAAGATTGACAAACAATTTTTCATGTTACTAAATATTTGAATAAAAAGTTTAGCGTAAAATTAAATGTTATAAAAATGTATATATCGCGATGAAAAGTTACTTCAATTATTTTTAACGTAACTTCTTTTTTCTAATAAATATTTTTACATATCGTTATTCAAAAGTTAATGTGGTTTTTTTAAAAGTTAATTACTTCTTTTATGTTACCGCTAATTTAAAAGTTAAAAAATGATAAAAAGTAGCTTAACCAAAACAGCTCTACGCGTACGTAAAAATCGCTTAAGGCGTACGTAAATTGCTCTAGGCGTAATGCTTTAAAACAAGGCCTGTAGATGTGGTGCAAGGCTGATCATCATAAGCTTTCTCTGTACCCCAAAGTCTTTGTGTAGGAGGCCTTCTACAAGACAGTAGTTGGATGTAGTTAACATCTTCCTAGGATGATTATTTTTACTGAGATCTCTAAATCTGCTTGAGTTTTTTATTTATCTTTTTAATCATATGAGTTTTTGTATGTGTGGGTTAAGAACTTAACTTGATGAATTAGTTTTATCTAGTAGGCAGTATTCAATAATTTCTAATGAAGACTCTGGTTGTTTTGTGATAGTTGCATCAATATGTCATAGGTTCAATTTATTGCCTAATTTTTTGTGTAGATCTAGGTCAGTTTACATTCATTAATATACTTTATAAAACACATGTCAGTTGGCTATCCAACATGTCTTGCTAATGTTTATGTCTATTATGTATCATTTTTATGTAATTTTTGTTGTTTTGTACAATTACAAATGTACCTTTTGAAATACTGCACTACAATTATGAAAAGAAAAATAGTTTTTAAAAATGGTAAACAATTTAATTATATTCAACTTATTTGACTTAACTATTTAGTTTATTGTTAAAGTATTGTTACAGAGTGTAAAAATGTAAATTTATGATTATTTTGTTTCTATTTTAGGCAAACAGGAAAGTTACATTAATACCTGGAGATGGAATCGGGCCTGAGATTTCAAAAGCAGTGCAAAAGATTTTTACAGCAGCCAAGGTAATAATTCTTAATAAACATTTTTTTCTTGAAATTTATTTGCTGCTCCATATTATAAATTGGCCACTTTCTGTTAAAGTAGTCAATTTTAAATCTCTCTCTTTTTTTTTTTAATTTTTAATAAATGAGTATAAAAGAGACCTATAAAAGTTTATTAAAAGTTAAAAAATATCATTGATAATATAAAGTTTATTAAAAGTTATAATTTATCATTGATAAGATATTTTACTTTTTTTTAAATTGTAAAAATGAAATTTTGTTATATTCAGCAAAAAATATTATCTAATTTTATTTTATGTTCAGGGAATATCTTTTTCCGGATATTTCCGGAATTCCGGATATTTTTCTCAAAATATAGTTTTTCCAAATATCCAAAATGTTTTCACATACATTCAAGTTTATATAATATTTGTTTTAATGTATATACATTTTTCGTTTTCAGTGATCAGCAATAAAAAAATATCAAAAATGTCTATAAAAATTCTGAAACCTACCAGCTGAGAGCAAAATTAGGAGAATAGTAAGGGAAAATATGTTCCGGATTTTTCCGGATATTTTACATAAACTATATTTTCCGGATTTTTAAAAAATGACCTGGATATTTACTGTATGTTACACTAAGACATAAAAAAGTTATGTTTGTTCGAAAAAAAACTAAATTTTTTTTATTAATATATATTCACACATTAAATTAAATGTTTTTGCATTTCTAACTTTAAATGAAGATGCTTTGTTTAAAGCTATTTTAGTTTTTAATTTGTTTAACATAAGTTAAAGCTGTGTAAATTTACCTTTAAGGTATGGCATATTTTTAAAAGGTTTTTTATTGTTTACAAAGATGCAGGCTTGCTTTTTTTAATCACAATTCCAGAGAGTTTTTTAATGTTTTTTTAGTTTTTTGTATATAAGTTTAGATAAGTTTAAATAAATTAAAACCGAAGGTTAAAATGAAATGTTTTGATTACTTTACTTAAAATACTATAATTCTGCTTACTTTAATTCCTACTACTTTACGAGCTTTACGAGCATAGAAAGTATTTTCCCATTAACTATTATAAATAATTTTCAAATATCTATCATAAAGTTTTTCTTCAATTTTATTATTTTTCCAATGGGATTAGTTGTCAAATTTCAAAGATTTTTTTTCCAGTAATTACAAATAAAAAAAATCTGGGCTCAAGTTTGTCATCTTCTTTTAACCCTTAAAGAAGCGCACCATTTTTTTCAACAAGAATATCCTGGAACCAAGTTGAATTAAGCAGTGAAATTCAACCATTAAATGTGTCTTAAAGTTGCCTTATGCTGTATGTGTCTATAGTTGCCAAAAACATATATGATTTGCTTATGATTCTTTAGTGTGAATTGGTTTTTCTTTCTAACAATAAAATTGGATAGATGATGCTTGAAAATTTTGTTTGTACAAACTTAAATGATTGTTTCTTCAACAAATGCAACATTTGCAACAACTTTAGGTTTTTCCTAAAATTTTTCATATCAAATCACCAAGTGGTCCCCAGGGTATCACCTCAGACTTGCTTTAAGTTTTGATCACCCACAGATTTTATGGAGAAAAAAAACACAATCTTGAAAATTACAGCTTGATTAGTTGAACTGTTCAAAAGTTATGATCGAATCAATATTGACTAAAATTAGAAAAATTTTTTTACCTGGATTTTATTACCTGGAGCTTACAGTAGATTTCTTTGATTTTTAACAGACTATAACTTTTTTAATAAAATAAGTGATTGCCTGAAATTTTGTACAGTAATAAATTTTCACCCAAGTAATCTATTTTTACAGGTGTTTTTGACTGATTTTAAACAGTTTTTGAGTTATTGTACCCCATAGTTGCTAAAAACCGCAATATTATAAAAAAAATTATATAATAAATATTTAGGGCAAAGGAGGGCATTAAGACCACTTTTTTCATATACTTACAGATTTTTCTATGGAAATAAATAAATATTATGAAATTCCAGAATTTTTTTTTTCATAATGACAGACAACATATCTCTATACAAGGCATAGCATTTTATTCAGAAAAAAAAAGTTTTTTATAGTGCCAAGACTGGTAAGAAGTTAAAAAAAAAAAATTGGAAAAAAAATAAAGGGGGGCAATAGGACCAAGTATATTGAATGTATTTATTTTTACCAAGACTTGGCGCTATAGTTAAAATTTTATTTGATAATTTAAATATCGTCCTTTTTTGTAATTAAAGTGCCTTTGACATTCTATAAAATGTCAAATGTGTCATATCACACCCATTTATCACTTCTGTTTTCAAATAATACCGAATCTTTAATGCCGCATGGTAAGATACGGTACAATAGAATTTCGACCAGGAATAAAATATTATAAAGGTAAAACTTTGTTCAAGCAAACATTAATGTGTGATAATTCTCCAAAAAAAAAATCCTCAACTATTGGCCTATATAAAAGGGTTATATTTGAATAAGTAAAAAAAAAAATTTTTTTTTAATAAATTTTTTATATATTGTTGGAAAGATAAATCAATGCTGATTCATATTCGTACAAGAAATATGGTCTGAAAATGAGTATTTAAGAAGTTATGATTAATTATTCCAATCAAAAAATTATAAGCAATACAGAGATAAATTGTAATTTGATTATTGATATAATCCTTTATAGCCGGATAATTTATACAAAGTTAAATCTAATTATTCATTGGACAAGCAAACAAAATAAATTTTAAATCCAATTAGCGGTGTGTCATAGAGGGGGGGGGGCAATCTCTCCACCTCCCTCTATGGGTTGCAACGATTCTCTATGGATCGCCCCTCCACCCCCTTATACATTTGAAAATATTCTTTTTATAAAAATTAATAAATTTAAACTATGGACTTGCCTGCTTAAAAATAATCAAATCTGAAAATTTCCCCTCCCTCTTTTTCTTCATAAATGGTCAGGATACAACAAATAAAAATTGAAAAAATCAAAGCTCCCCCCCCCTCCCTCATTACTATATGGTCTTCTTAATAACAAAAACATAGTGTTACTTTATAAAATCTATAGCAAAAACTATTTGAAACATTATAGTTAACTTTTGAATAAAAAAATAATTAAATAAACATAATTTGTTTTTTATTTCATCAGTATTATCAAAATATGTAAACTTAGTGAGGCCATTGTCCTGTGTTTTGCATGTCTTTCCTTAAAATAATAAAATAGTTATTTCTTTTTTAACCTTTTATTCATCTCTATGTTCTATTATTTATTTATATGTTCAATATGTATAATATTGTGGTAACTTAAGCCTGTGAACTAAAATATCCCAAATTTTTTGGGTTGTATATTTTACTTGATGATAACTTTATAATACTGAAAAATTATTAAATGAAACTAAAAACATATGAATGAATTTAAAAATATTATAAAACTGTATGAGAAAAAACAAGTAAAAAGGGGTCAATTAAAAACACTACTTTTTAAGTTTATATTTTTATAAAGGCTTAGAGCAATCTCTACATTTCCACTCCACGACTTTAACATCATCTAATTCAGATATCGTGGTACATTTTAAATGATACCTGATGTCGCAAACATCGCAGCACACCCACTGATCACCTCTATTTCCACATCCACCACAATTAGGGCATGTGTCGTTGTTGTCAGCATAATCACAATCATTTTTATCTGTCCTTTTTTTTTTATGTGTTTTTTTCTTTAGTTTTTTTTTTTTTTTTTCTTGATTTTTTGAAGCTTCTTCTCTTGTTCATTTTAAACATGCTTCTGATGTCAAACTTTCACCATAGTGAAACCTAATAACTCGTGCAGATCTTCCACAATGAGAGGTTTCTGCACATTTGGACTGTAATTGTTTAAGAAAAAAATCTTTGATTGTGGAAGTTGATGTAGAACTTGGTAATGATGAAGCAGATGATATTGATGTTGAAATGGGAGCATTGTTAACACAAATACTATGAAGGTTAGGAATTGAACATGATCTTGTAAGATGATTAGCTGAGAATCTAGGTTTCTTTACAGGTAACATGAAACACTGATTAAATAGGTATGTGTCAATAGTGTCTTTGTTAAAAGAAATAATGCCAGTTCCCTTAAAACCACTTTTGACTTGTTCCATAGTAAAGGAACTCTGAAAAAGGGTACGTAGTAGCCCTGGAAAATGTTTTTTCGACACTGTTCCATTATGCGTTCTTGCATATTTTATAAGCAAACTTTGCCATTTACTTTTTACAGGTTGAAAAACTGATGTGCCTAAAGGTTGAAGAAGGTGGGTAAGATGTGCAGGAATGCGTAGGAGAATAACATTATATATTTTTTTCTAAATCAATAAGTGAGGAGCTAATATGAGAAATATGGCCATCGAATATAAGTACATGTGGGCGGTTTGAAAGATGCTTTGTATAAATTAGAAATATGTTTCGAAACCATTCTAAAAAATGGGGGCACTCCATCCAGCCCTTACTGCTGGTAGTATAAACAGCTCCATCAGGTCCACATTTAACCTAGTCCATATACAAATTTTTTTCCTTTGTATATAATATATGGTGGCAATACCTGCCCACTAGCAGAGCATGCACAATTTACAGTAACCTGCTCCCTGCCTGATCCACCAATGCTCTGTGACACACGAGAAGCACCTTGTTTTGCTAATACAATTTGCTCCTTAGGGTTGGTGACAAACCCTGATTCATCAGAATTAAAGATTTGATTAGGAAGGTTAATAATTCCTGCTTTTTTTTAATGTTTTTTCTACTAAATTAAACCAAATTTTGATAGTTTCAGGACTTTCAGCGTGACTTCTGGAATTACTTAAATGTTCAGTTTTTCTTGGAGTAACTTTAGGATTTCTTTTCAAGAATGCATGCAACCAGTTTTTACTTGGTCAAGAATCTATAAATGGCGTATCAATACTGTTTGTGAAGTTAAAGATTTAGTACAAGAAAATCTTGTACTAAATCTTTAACTTCACCTTCACTTAGTAAAACCCCATCCCCAATCAGCCATTAAAATAAGGCAATCTGATAGCTCCTTTTCTTGCTGTGTGGTTAAAACTGTTTTTCGCCCTGGATGAGAGCCAAAAGGTAGTTCACCATTTACTCTTTTTGAAAGTGCTCTTCTATCACACCTAAAATGTTTAGATTTTTTCATGTTTGGTTTATCAACATTTTTTTATTCAAAACAGAACTGCATGCATCTATCATTTCTTGACTGTTTGAGTAGGATTTCCTACCTCCCTGCTTCAACTTTTTGTATGTTCGAACCATTCTAAGGAGAAAAAATATTGTTTTCAAAAATACAATAAAAATGTATTTTTTTACATTAAATAGTTGGCTGCAATTTTTTTCATACTTTTTTAACTAAATATTTTGAAATTGATAGCTTATTTAAATTTATTAGTGTTTTGCCATTTTTCACTAGTCAGGGAGGGCATTAAGACCTACTTGTTTTAAAATAAAAATTTTATTCTCTAAGTAAACAAATAAACAAAGTTTTTTGCAACAAACATCTCAAATAAGTCTTACCTTTGCTAGGAAAACAAAAAAATTTTGTGTACAAGGTAATTTTAAAGGTATAAATCTAAAATGTCTAAACCTTCTTTAGACGGCTCAATGACTCAATGATTTTTACAGAAATAAATATGAGATTTCAACTATTATTTTTATGTCTAAATGTTACTTAAGTAGAATGTGTAACTTTAAAAAAGTACTTAATAAACTTAGATACTACTTTACTTTCAAGAAAAATAAAAAAAAAACAACTTGGAATAGCCTTTTTAATTAAAAACTGAGGAGCACCGATTTCGGCAAAATTTTTCATAAACTTTGAACAAAATTAAAAACTGCCGTAAAAAACATCGATATTGAAAACCAAATTATTAATGGTAAAAAATTAGTTGTTAGTCCAAGAAATGTTATAAACTACTCTCTTACGTACTAAGTAAACATATATTATGTAAAACTTAGTAAATTATTATTTACACAATAGCATAAAAGAATTTAAGTTTAGTTCTGCTAAAAAAGATCTTATTGCACCGCTGATCTTATTACCCCGCTTTACCCTACACACTTTGCAGGCATAAAAAAATAGTGTCAACAGTTGAAATAAATTATAAAACTTTTTACTGTGGAAGTTCTATTTATAGACAATCGCCAAAAAAAATTTAAAGACCTACACTCTATTTTATGACATAAGCCTTTTGAGTGTTGCTTTTTTAGTTTAAAAGGAGACCTAAAAAATAGCATAAGTTACGTTATATTGCAAAAAATTAAAAATAAAAAATAAAACAATGGTGAAAGAAGAAGTGTATATACATATAAAAAAAACAAGTACACTAATTTCATTATCTCTGATTGAATTAACTCATAATATCGTCATAATCGTTATAATAAGTGATTACTTGAAATTTTGTACAGTAATAATTTTTCACCCAAATAATCTAGTTTTGCAAATGTTATCGACAGATTTTAAACAGTTTTTGAATTATTGTACCCTATAGTCTAAAAATTGCATTATAAAAACTTATGGAAACTTTAATGTGCTACAGTTCAATACCTACAGATAGACTGCATTTTTTTTTTACTTTTGTGTACTTAGGGTAATCACTTGTTACAAAAACCAAAATTATGCATTAATAGTTAAATGCTTGCAGCAGCCTGTTAAAATATCTTTTTTTTTTTTTTTTTTTTTTTTTGAAAAATATGAGAAATTACAATCACTTTGAAGTCATAAAAAATAGCGTAAACAGTTGAAATAAACTATGAAACTTTTTTACTGTAAAAGTTCTTTATATAGGCAATCATCAAAAAAAATTAAAGACCTATACTCAATCATATGACATGATTATAGCCCTATGACCTAGGTGTATATTTTTAGTAGGTTGTAAAATCTAAATCTAAAGTTTTTTAAATTACATAAAATTTTAAGAATTATATCTATGAATTGGATATATCTATGATAATATTTATATACTTAAAATATCAAAAATATATATATTAAAAATACTCAAAGTTGTAAGTAAATGGGATAAATTAGAACGTGGAGTAAGACAAATCTAGTAGCATCAGTATTGGATATAGACTCAAAAAAAATGGAAAAAAAGTAAAAGTGCATAAACTATAATAAAGTGCAATTATTTAGACAAACTTATAGTTATTTAGACAAACCTTTTTTTAAAAAAAAAAAAAAAGAAAGTAAAAATAAGTTTGAAGGAAGAAAAAGTTCAGTTACTCTAGTTAACTCCTGAAACTTTCAATTGAAAAAACATTTCAGTTTAAGAACATCTTGTTAATAAAGCCCCAAAGTTTAAAAAAAGAAAAACTTGCTAAAACTGTTACTAATAAGAAAGTAACTTTTGGAAGATTGTTAATGATGAAAGTCGTCGAAACTTATAAATCTGAAGAGTTCACAAGATAATGTCCAGGAAAAAAATACTTTGTTACTGTGCTTATAAATAATGTAAAAATTCAAAAGCAAAAATGTTGATTTTAGTTTGTTTAAAGTAGCTTTATCTGGAATTTTAAACACAAAGTTGGATTCAGTGTTGCACCCCAGTGACAGTAGTCACTCAGTTTTTGTATGTTTTTATTATCAAAGTCTAAATTTAATTTTCACTATTTTTTTTTAAGGGCAATTTAATATATTATAAAGATTTGATAAAAATATATGTTTGTAATAAAAATAGTTGAAGTGCATGTGTGGTCTATGTTCTAACTGTCCTGTTATTTAAATTTGAAGACTTATTTGAAATTTAGAAAATGTGTTTGAAAAAGAGTAATTAGGATTTTAACTATCAGATCACATACAAACATAAATGGGTGTTAATGTAATTAACCAAACTGCACTTGTCAAAATCCAAGCAAGCATTATTGAGTTTATTGAAACTCTATGTAAAACTTTGTATGATCTTTGTGACTACCACTTGATCGTAGAAGTGCAATCTTCAAACTTATCAGAGACAAAAATCACATTAAATCAACACACCTGTCTTAGTTTTATGAATTTTGTAGAGAATATATTTTTTTGTACAAGATGCTGTACAAAAGTTTTACTGGCAAGCTGATCAAGCTACCTTACACATTTGCTGTCTAGTGAAACAATCAAAAAGATCAACTCAAATGTGAATGCTGTTGTAAAATTTCTGACTATCTTTGCCATGAACAGGCATCAAGTATTAAACTTAACACACACCAATAAAATACATTTCAGTAACATTATTAATTGTAAAATATTAAAATTATTTTAAATCTTTGTTGGTGTACAAAAAGTTACAAATAATATTATACATGATGTTTTGCGACTCAACTTTCAAATGTTTTGTGGTGTAAGTACCACATTTTCAATATTTTTAGATTAAATCTAAAAATGTTGAAAATTTGTAAAAGTTAATAAAAAAGTTTAAAATCGCCCCTAGACCTTATTTTACCATCACTTACTAATTCATTCATTGTTTCAGCTTTGTGAGTTACATCTATAAAAAATTTGTGATCATGTTTTTGTGAAAAGTTATAGAATATGTTTTTTGATACATTTTTTTCTTTAGGCACCTATAGAGTGGGAAATAGTTGATGTAACTCCAGTCATTGGACTTAATGGCAAAACGCAAATCCCTACTGCAGCAATTGAATCTGTAAATAAAAACAAAATCGGTTTAAAAGGTTAGTTTATTTTAAAGTATTTTTATAAAAATGCTATTTATTTGCAATTTTTTTTATAAATCAAATTAATCTAAAAAAAAATAGGTTACATCATTTTAGCCACTTCCCCACTAATGCACTTAACCCCACTGATGCAATTTCCTTACTGACGTACTTTCTTCCCACTGATGCACACTAAATCTTGTACGTTTTATATTTGCACTCATTTTCAAGATTGTATATCTTTTATTTGTAGGCACTTTTGAGATCTATGATTTAAATACCATTTAGCAAATACCATTAAATATTTCTAATAAAATCATATAACAAAATGACAAAATATATATTTTTTTTGAAACTTTACTTTAGGAAATACTTCAGATTCTTCAAAAAAGAATTCCATTCCTTCTTCCAGTTTTTATATTTATAGTGTTCGCTACATTCATCTTTATACTCTTCCATAAATTTTATTTATCGATAATAGCAGTTATACTAGTATAGCAGTTATAGCAGTTATAACAGTTATACTGTTATAAGAGTATCTTCTTTTCTGTCAGGTGTAGTGCTTGTAACTTAACTTCTTTTTGTTTATTTTTCAACAATTGATATTCTTGGTGACTACATTTGCCATTGAGTGCAGTGTTTTCTAAATGTTGTGTTTTAACAGCTTCTTTAATAGTTGATCTGTATATATCAGGTTCTGATGGTGTCTGAATGTCGATCTCATCTAAAAATCACTGTCAACAAATGGATACTGATTTGTTGGTTGTTTGTAGTTTTGGTTTTGCTGTAGTTCTTGTTGTAGGTAATTGTGGACTAAATCTTCAGACTCTTGGTATTCTGCCTCAGACTCGGATTCAGAATGTTGATGTTTTTACTGTTACTGTTGTTGAAGTAGGCTTTAAGGATATTTTTTCTCTTTTGGATGGATGGATAGTTTGTGAACTAGCAGCCTTCCCAGTAGTGTACCTGACCCTTTGCTTTTAATCTGAAGATGATACAAAATTTTGTGTTCATTGCAGAGTCATTTACCATCTTTTTTTTGGATTATATTTTTTTTTATTTTACACTTTTAACGTGTCTTCAGCACTTGGTCTAGTTTTGCCTGTATGAATTAAATTGATAAATGTGGAAATTTAATTTCTCTTCCAGTGATTGTTCTTCTAGTAGAACAGTTTTATTTTTCCTGTTACTCATAAAATCAAGATAAAAGCAATATTCTTCATCCAGATAGTCTTATTTCTTTCACTAATGGAAGCATTCTTATAGAATATTAAGATAATAGTTAAAATAATCTATTTCTGAAAGGCAATAATGATAAATATAAGTGCTATTGTACTTATATTATTTGACTGTCATCTGGCCAATACAGATTTATATATAATTATCATTGTTGCTCAATCAGGCAACTTATAGTTTAAATCTTGCTAGTTTTCATAAACTTCTAGAAGACTCCAAAAAGTTCTAGAAAGTTTCAGAGATTTATAAAAACATTAAGAACAGTCCAGAAAATTCTAGAAAGTTCCATAAGGTTTAAGAAAATCTTAGACTTCAGAAAGTCATAATGTTACTATCTACAAATACTACTTATATGCCATTTTAAAAATTTTGCGTTGTGGGTGACCTTTTTTGCGTTGTGGGTGACCTTTTTTGAAAATCAGAATAAAAGCTATTTTCTTTACTTTATGCAAAATTTCATCAATTTAAAGTTAAAAAGTCATAACCCTGATATTCTAATTTTGTTTCAATTACAAATTTAAAATTACATACATTTATAAAATAGTCAAATGTTTAAGAAGTGTATTCTTGTGAATACTTTGACTATTTTATAGTAAATGTTTAATTTTGTAAAAAGTTAATGTTTAAATATCTTTTTTCTTTTAATTAAATGAATTCCATTCCATTCAAGTTATTCCATTCAAGTTATGAAATATTTTGATTTGTTTCTTTTTATTCCTTTAAAAGATGAACATCAACAATAATACAATCATTTTTAAACTTTTATTTTTTTATTGTTTATTTCTATCATGTTGATTGTCAAATAAAAGTAAGAATCATTGAAACTTTCAACAGCTTTTGCTCTCACTGTAAGCAGTCAGTTTGATAAAAATCTATCAAAAAGTTTAGTATCAGTTTTATGTCTATTATTTTTTGTATTAATTTTTGTATTAATATATTTTAGTATCTTATTTGTCTGTTAATTATTATGCTGCCTAAACTTCAAAATTTAGATTTACTTCAATTTAATTTACAACACTGAAACTAAATAAAAAATCAAATGGCAGCTGTTTCCTTTTTTTTTTTCTTAATTATTGAAACTTGTTAATTGGAAATTTTTAAATCAAAAAAAGTATTAGAAAGCATCCAATCATTATTTTATAATTAAATATTATTATATATAAATTATTTTATATTCATATACATAAATTTATGTTTATAAATTTCTTTGTAAACAACATTTTTTTTTTAATTTTATATTGTTGATGGATAAATATAAACAATAAATGATAGTAGTATAATATTAAACTAAAAATAAATGATAATATTTCACTTAACTTTAACTTTATTATAATTTCACTTAACTTTAACTTAGGTCCACTTGAAACTCCTATAGGTAAAGGACATGTTTCTTTAAACTTAACATTAAGAAGGTAAGTGAATTTGTTGAATGTATATGTTTATGAGTTTTTTTAAACATTGTTTGTGTCTGTGCCTGGATTGATAACATTAATTACACAAGAATTCGCATTTTTATAGGATATTTACCTCTAGAATGCTCGCACACATACAGACACACATATGAATAGCGTTTTTCTAAAGGGGAGCTAAGGTTATTTTTCCAAAATTCTTTTTGAATTTCAACATTAATCCAAATGTTTTTTGAAAAAAGTTACAAATCTAACTATGTTAGTAATGATAAAAAAAATCATTTTTTTTTTACAATAACAAAATTATTGGTGTTCAAAAAGTACTTCGCCTGAAAATTATTTATTTATTTTTCTTAAAACAATAAACATGTGACTTAGTACCATTTTAGAAAAACTCTGCAATATTAAAAATAAGCCTATTAAAAATAAATTAAAAATATGTTGAAAATACAACTTTAGAAATTTTTGAAGCAATTATATTACTTCTAAAAGCAATTAAAAATATTTAGTTGGATGTCAAATTATTACAAAAAAATTTTTTTTTCAGTGATTTTATAATTTATATAGTTTATTTATTTTGTTTAGATTATATGAAAAGATTATATAAAAGTAACATTTATTTTTACTTCAAAAAGAAAGTGACTTACATAACATTAGCATTTATTTTTAAAATACATTAAATTAGATTTAAGTTAGTTTAGTTTGGTTGCCCAAACCAGTATATGGGTGTCACAAGTGATTTAAATATATCTCTGATATTTATGTTTGATTTATGTAAAATACTTTACTATAGTGTACATAATTGTACATTCATAAGTATAATTTACAACCACATATTAAAAAGAATTTGTATTTTAAATGTATTGAAATAAAATTATTTATGCAAATCTGGGAAAATAAAAAAGATAAAATTAATAATGCAAATTTTGGGAAGATTAAAAAGTTAAATTTATTTATGAAAGTTTAGCATTCTATTATTGTTATTGATGCAAAAAAACCTAAAATATAACAAATATAACATACCGTTGACAAAACCCTAATATAAATAGAGCTTTGTATATACAGTGGTTTTCATAAATTTAGACACACTCATATTTGAGAATAGAAATTTTAGTTTTTTAACAATAAAACAATGGCGAAAAAAGATTTCGGTTTAGTTTTTTTTCTATTTATTAGATAAATACATACAGAATACAAAATTTTAAAAAAGTTTACAAAAAAATGAAATACTAAGTAATAATTAGGTACAACTACATGGTATTAAAAAAATTAGGCAAAAAAAATTATTCATAAATTTAGACGCACGATACATTAAAAGGCGTAATTTATAAACCAATTAATATTTTGTGTATCCGCCTTTTGCTTTAATACAACTAAGAACTCTTCTAGGCATAGACTCAACAAGATTTTTGCACATCGCTTATGGGACCCCATACCAGGTCTCCTTAAGGAATTCCTTCAGCTGACCAAGTGTGGAAATTTGAACCTTTGCTAATTCACGGCCAATCCAAGCCCAAATGATTTCAATCGGGTTCAAATCAAGTGAGTATGGAGGCCACGGTATTCTCATGATATTATTATCATTGAACCACTTCTTTGTATAGTATGCAGTATGTGCAGTAGCGCGATCTTGTAGAAGTTTCCATGGTTTATCATTGAGCATAAGCAGATCAATTGATGGAATTAGGTTGTTTTCCAGTACTTCTACGTATATTCTGGAGTTGATTCTTCCAGTGTATGTTTGGCACATACCAACATCTTTGTAATTGAAGCATGACCAGATTCCTAACGAGCCTCCTCCACTTTGTACAGTCGGTCTAATGTACCTGGCGTAATACTTTTTGTGAGCCATTCTTTTGACTGTTATGTTAGATTTGCGATTGATAAGCTCAAAGTTACTTTCATCACTCCACATAATGTTTTCCCATTGTTTTATTGTCCAATACCTTCTTTCACGACACCATTTTAGTCTCCTTTGTTTATCATATGGACGCAGAACAGTTTCTTCAAAGCAGTGTAGACTCCAATCTTGTATTTGATAAGTATTCGGCGGACTGTGCTTTGAGAAATAGATGTATTTCGCGTTGTATTGAATTCTGTGGTCAATTCTTTGTAACTAATTCTTGGATTAGCTCTGACAGCTCTAAAAAGAACACTATCGTCCTTTCTGGTAGTTGACAAGGGTCTACCTGGCCTCATTTTCTCGCTGGCACCACCAGTGTGAAGAAAGTTTTGTTTCATTGTCCGAACGCATTTCTCAGAAACTCCAATTAACTAGGCGATTTCTCTATTACTTTTGGTTCCTTCTTTGATGTGCGCAATAATTTGCCATCTTTCACCTTGAGTGATACGTCTTTTGCCCATTTTTCGCATCTTTTTAGTGCAAAACTAACTTTACTTTTGTTTATTTATTAAATAATGATTAACTAATTCCAGGTAAGTCATATTTATATAAGGTTTTTTGACAAAATCAATTAATTTAGGCCTATTAATGAGAAATATGGGAAAAAAACTATTAATTAACTATCAATTAACAAGATATAAGACTTTTTTGATTGTGCGTCTAAATTTATGAACAAAATAAAATCAAGTTTATCAATAAACTTTTTTGTGTTAATCGGTATAAAATGAGTAATAATCATCCTGTAAAAAAAAATAAGGTACTCTATAATAGTTTCACTTCCTCTTTTAAATTATATATCAAACGTAGCGATAGCACTTTTATTTTATTTTTATTTTGAGTATTTTCTTACATATATGAAAAAAAAATGAATGCGTCTAAATTTATGAAAGCTACTGTATGTGTGCGTGTGTATATATATATATATATATATATATATATATATATTATATATATATATATATATACATACACATACAGGGGTTATTCCTGGAAAAACAGTTGGGTGGCAGTATTCACACCATTCCCCCCCCCCCCCATCCCAGAGAAATTTAGTGGAAATATTGTCGAAAATCTGTGTTTTTTCACGAAAAAAACAATATTTGCTGTTAAAAAAAAAAGTCCTAAATTATTAAATTGGGTGGCATCCAAATGCGGTCAACGCTGTTAAAAACAGTCTAGAATAGTCCCTGATATATATATTTATTTATATATTTATATGCACAACCCTTGGAATTAGGAAAAATTAGGTCGGCAAAAATTCCTAACCTCAAACTGTTAGAGGTTGTCATAAGGTCGATAAAAATAATTTGACACAAAGGGGTTACCATAAAACACAAAAACCAGGTCTGCGATTTTTTGCAGACCTCAAGCATTTTTAGTTCGAGATTGTCGAGTTGCTGACCCTAATTCTGAGGGATATATATATATATATATCCCTCAGAATATATATATATATATATATATATATATATATATATATATATATATATATATATATATCTGTGTGTGTAAGTTAAATTAGTGTATTCTACAAATAGAGTGCTCAATGTTCTTAAAGGACAAATTATAATTAATAACAATCATCAGGAAGCCTGATGACTCTACAGAGGTGAAACAGATTGTTGAGCATATTTAGATTAGTGTTTTTACTAATTTATATAATATATACACACACATGTAGATTGATTTAGATAAAAAGACATTTTTAAATAGATGTATTCGCATAATGTTGATATTTGCTCTATTTTCAGAACATTTAATTTATATGCAAATGTCAGACCATGTCGCTCTATAGAAGGATTTAAAACAGCTTATAGTAATGTTGATATAATTACCATCAGAGAAAATACTGAAGGAGAATACAGTGGAATAGAACATGAGGTATTTTTTAGGTTTAAGTATGTCTTTGACACTATTTTTATTTTCAAGATTTTTTAAATTTTTACATTTTTACTGATATAGGTAGTTGATGGAGTTGTTCAAAGTATAAAACTGATAACACGTACAGCATCTGAACGAATTGCAAATTTTGCCTTCGATTTTGCTCGTGCTAATAACCGCAAGACGGTGACAGCTGTGCATAAAGCCAACATAATGTATAAACAATAAACTATGTATGAAATAAAAGCTGAAAAATATTTTTTTTTTTTTAACGTTATTATGCTCTAAATTATTTTAGGAGACTTTCAGATGGTTTATTTTTGCAGTGCTGTCGAGAAGCATCACAAGTAAATCCAGATATCAAATATCAAGAAGTTTTTCTTGATACAACCTGTTTAAATGTATGTAGAACTCATTTTTATTTACTAATAAAATAATATTTAATATTGTAATGGAAATTCAAATGTTCATTCTTTGTCAGGAGAGAATTCATCTGTATGCTACTATTGCATACTTTATATATATGCGCTAAAGGTGTGCAGAAAATTTTGCATGCATACAGATCTGACGGCATTAGTTTCACTCTCTCTTTTCCAGTTTTCTTTGCAATTTTTTTTTTAGGTATTTTGCATTATGCTTCCTTTATTTAGAGTTGAAAGAAAGTTTCTTTTTTTGGTAATTTAAAAATACACTTGTTAATTTAAAAGTTGTTTGGCACAAGGCTTTATATATACATATTATTACTTTAAAAAATGTTTTCTTGAAGTATAGAGTATGATTTAAAACATGAATAAGATTCATTTTTGAATTTAAAAAGGAAATCTTTTTTATAAAATAATATTTTCTGAAATAATACTTGAGCTTATTGTTAAAATATCTTCAAGAGTAAAAATATATTTAAACAAAACAAAAAAAATTCCTTTAACAATAGTGATATATTCTTTTTTATTGTTCTTTGTGAGAGAAAAAAAAAGTTAAAAATCAAACAAATAACATTTCAAAATTGCACTTGAAAAACACTAGAGAAATGTATTTTACATATATAGTTATGTTTCTAATGAATATCTTTGAAACTCAAAAATAAATTTAAAGAACATAAATAAGAAATATAGAAATAATATATATACAAATAAATATGTATCCAGTAATTATTTGTTTTCTCTACAAATGAAAATATGTTCTTTGATATTGATTTATGAATTTTTATTTTTTTGCAGAAAATTGTGATTAAATCTTTTCATTGTAAACTAGAAAATCCAGACCCGTAAAACTGGTCATGACAGGTCTGATTCACACCTCCCATTTACTTTTTACTAGTTTTCAATTGGTTACAGAAAATGGAAGAAAGTAATGATCTTAGCTTCATTAGATGTCTAATTTATTGTTCCCTTTGGAGCATGTTATCTATATGGCATAAAGTTGATATATAAAAAAGTTGACCTAAACCTTTTAGCTCTGGTAACATCAAAGACTTTGTTTCTATGTGTTTTATTGTGTGTGTGTTTTTTTGAACTATAAACTTTGAAACTTTGTTCATTATTTTATTTTCAAATGCGACAGAAATTATAAAAGGTAAGAGAATATATCGACCTACTTTAGAGCTGTTAACGTACGTCAGTCATATATTTATTTCAGCATTCATTTAAGGCATATTTTACTCTAGTATATTTTACAGCATTCATTTAAGGCATATTTTAAAAGTATCCGGAATATATTTTGCCTTACCTTCATCCTAATTTTGCATTCAAATCATTAGTTGTAATCAAAAAATTTCTTGATTTTTGTATAGGTAATGGGGTGAAAAGGTTAGAAAACAAATGTATCTCATAAAATATATATTTAAACTTGTGTTTGTGAAAAACCTTTTAACAAATCCATAAATAATAGAAAGTCCTAAATATATATATCTTTAGAATAAATTTATTTAAAATATATAAATGATATATAATTAAATATTTAGTAAAACATAAAAATAAAAAAACAATTTGTCAGTTTTCTTTAAAATAAAAATTAGTGTTGAAGGCAACTTTAGTAATGAATGTACTTTTTAAAATCAGTTGTAACATCTAAATGGACTGAGGTGTAGCACAGCCTATTACAAAGAAAAACATATTATAATAATTAAAAATATTTATTACCGATAGGAACAATAATTTAACATGTATTAAATAAATAATGTAACTCCATAGTAGTCATTAAAAAAACATCTCAAATAAAATAGCTTAAAAAAATTACTTTATTATGAAAACATTTTGGCAAATGAGTCAATTAATTTCTTTAATGAAAAACCAACTATGATATCTCAAAGAGCAAAGTTATAAATAACACTATTAAATAAATAAATAACCCTATTATATCAAATAACACTATTAAATAAATATCACTATTATATCAAATAACACTATTAAATAAATAACACTATTATATCAAATAACACTATTAAATAAATAACACTATTATATCAAATAACACTATTAAATAAATAAATAAATTATTAACTATTAAATAAAAATATTATTAACTATTAAAAAAAAAATAAAAAAAAACTAATTATATCAAATAACACTATTAAATAAATAACACTAATATATCAAATAACACTATAAAATAAATAACACTATTATATCAAATAACACTATTAAATAAATAACACTATTATATCAAATAACACTATTAAATAACACTATTATATCAAATAACACTATTAAATAAATAACACTATTATATCAAATAACACTATTAAATAAATAAATTAATTATTAACTATTAAATTAAAATTAAATAAAAATATTATTAACTATTAAATAAATAAAAAACAACCCTATTATATCAAATAACACTATTAAATAAATAACACTATTATATCAAATAACACTATTAAATAAATAAATTAATTATTAACTATTAAATTAAAATTAAATAAAAATATTATTAACTATTAAATAAAAAAAAAACAACCCTATTATATCAAATAACACTATTAAATAAATAACACTATTATATCAAATAACACTATTAAATAACACTATTATATCAAATAACACTATTAAATAAATAACACTATTATATCAAATAACACTATTAAATAAATAAATTAATTATTAACTATTAAATTAAAATTAAATAAAAATATTATTAACTATTAAATAAATAAAAAACAACCCTATTATATCAAATAACACTATTAAATAAATAACACTATTATATCAAATAACACTATTAAATAAATAAATTAATTATTAACTATTAAATTAAAATTAAATAAAAATATTATTAACTATTAAATAAAAAAAAAACAACCCTATTATATCAAATAACACTATTAAATAAATAACACTATTATATCAAATAACACTATTAAATAACACTATTATATCAAATAACACTATTAAATAAATAACACTATTATATCAAATAACACTATTAAATAAATAAATTAATTATTAACTATTAAATTAAAATTAAATAAAAATATTATTAACTATTAAATTAAAAAAAAAACAACCCTATTATATCAAATAACACTATTAAATAGCACTATTATATCAAATAACATTATTAAATAAATAACACTATTATATCAAATAACACTATTAAATAACACTATTATATCAAATAACACTATTAAATAAATAACACTATTATATCGAATAACACTATTAAATAAAAAAAAGATTGAGATTTAAGCAGTTGGATTATAGTAATGTTAAATATTGTCTTGGCTTTAAATAAATGATTAAAATTAGTTAGGTAGATTAATAAAACAGCAATACCAAATAGAATAACATACTTGTAAAATCACATTACATTACACTAAATATTAACATATATGTATTTTCTATATAATTATGAAAGGCTAGGCAACAGAACCTAGTTATACAACAATAACATCTCTATCCTGCAATCTACCTGATGTCACACCTCTGCTAAGTACACCGTTTGGCTGGCAAGGGTGGCAATTTTGCTCTACACTAATTTATTCTTTTTTTTAAATAGAATTTTAGTTATAAAAATAGCCGGCTAGTATAACAGTCTTGCTCTACACACACTGCAAGTTACAACACTTGCTTGGCTAGTTTCACGACCTAGCTCTACGTGATTGGCTATTGATTATAACAATAATAATTATTTAAAATCAATTATAGCAGCAGACAAAGTGACAAAAAATAAGTGTTTTTTTTTTATATATTTTTATAAAAAATGCGTAGTTTAATAGTTAAAAAAAAAATCGTTTATAAATCAAGTATATTTGTAAATAAAACATTTTGTTTGTATATCATTTATCAAATCAGTCAAAGCTTATGTTATTTTTTTAATCCAACTTTTGGAATTTTTAGAACAATATTAGTTCATTCTTATAAAAAATCCAAATTTTTCTGATAAATATGCTTAGATAGTTTTATGCAATTCAGTTAATGCAAAAAAGTAAGGTTTAAATAAACAAAAGGTACAATTGATAACTAAAATCATAATAAAGTTATACATCAAGTCATACATAAAGTAATACATACAGCTTGTGATTGCAAACTATGAATTATTCCAAATTTAAAATCTAAACACTATAAATTAAGAACATTAGAAAATATAACATTTGTGTAACATTTTTCACTTACCATATCTTGAATAGAATGTTGACATTGAGTTAGACTTTCAAGCACTTCTTCATCGATTGATAATGAATCTACATTAGTGGGTGTTAAAATCACACGTTTAGAAAAATCATCTTTTTCAGTATCTTTATATATAATTCAGTATCTCTAAATATCTTATCAACAATCGAGTCGTTTTCTCTAATAATGCATTGATATGGTATTTCAATGCATCCTTTAAAAAGATTCTCCTCTTTGACAGGTTCAATCGCCAAGTTTTAATAGCCATTCGGAAAATTCTCCTTCATGTACACATATATTTTCAGTTAACGCAAATTTCTGTGACCATTGTCATTGTAAAGAACATTTTCTACATGATTCTACAATTTCAGCTGGTTCTTTTTATCACAGGCTAACACATTTTCAACATTTGCCTAAAGTCACCACCAAAAAGAATGACTTTTGTTGTTGCAAACAGCTTATCAATTGTATTTAAGGCATGTTTACGTATCATGGATGTTTCATCAAGCAAAAACAAAGTAACTTCCTTTAAAAAATATCCATATATAGAGTTAGGAGTTACATTACATGTGCTGCTATCCAATATTGGAACAGTAAGTTTGAATAAGCCATGCACTGTAGATCCATTTGTAAGAAGTGTGGCTGCTATGCCAGTCCATTCAGCTGTTGCAGATTTAAAATCACTACTTATAATTTCAGCAATCAAATAATTATTTGTAAAAGTTTTTCCACTGCCAGCTGGTCCATCCATAAAAAATAATCAAGAATGTTGATTTTCTACACTTAGTTGTTCATTCAGAGATTAAATTTAAAAAAATAAAAAATAAATTGAAAACTTAATTGTTCTAGTGATTGAATGCATGTCATATTAAATTTAGATTTGCAAGTTTGGGATTGTACATAATTTCTGACGTAAAAATATAAATACCATTTACAAAAATTTAATACTTACAAAGCTATAAAATAATAATATATCCTTTTTTATAGGGTAGATTAGGGTATTATGAGCACCTTAAACGAAAATTGGAATATTTTCAAAAATATTTATGCTGGATCCAATAATTTTACAAATAAATAGTTTTTGCGAATAAACAATGAGCAGTGATCTCTACTCATGATGCAGTTAGATATTTAGGTTCTCAAAATTTTTTTTTTTTAAATACAGGTTTTAAAAAAGTGGTGAACATGCTCATATTAGCTAGACCACTTGATAATATGAGCACTTTAAAAAAGTTAAAAAAATCAACATTAAGTAAAAAAATACCATCCTGACAATTAGAACAAATTTCTGGAATATAACAGGCTTGGTCGGGAAGCGGGAGCGATCGCTCTCGATTGCTGACCATGTAAATAATATTTAGTTGCGAAAAGCTGGCCAGATTTTTTAGTCGTTTTGAGAACATTTTAAAAAGCAAAAAAAAAAAAGATTAATTGGACCAATGAGAGACAATTACAAAAAAAAAAAGTTTTAGATGCGCTAAATTTATATGAAAAGTTTTAATGTTTTAATTCATTTATTACTATTATGCTCAAATAATATTTATATTTTTATTGTAATATTATATTTTATGCTGGTAGTCTTTATCTGTGATTTTATATTAAAAGTACTTATTATATTTTATATTTTGCTCAAAGATGGTCAACAATCCTACTCAATTCGATCTTTTAGTCATGCCTAACCTTTATGGAGACATATTGAGGTATTTAGTGTTTAAGTTTGTGGCCTAACTGTTTTGTAATTATTTTAAATAATTTTTGAACAATTATTTTATAAATAATTTAGTGACTTATGTGCTGGATTAATTGGTGGGCTTGGATTAACTCCTAGTGCAAATATTGGAATGAATGGTGTTGCTGTTTTTGAAGCTGTATGTATGTGTTCTGTGTATTTTAAAGCAGTGTGCACATACTTTGTATATTAGTTGTTTTAAAACTGTTCTATGTATTTAAGCTGAGAGATAACTTTTGATACTATTATAACTAAATAAAGGCAATTATGAATGTTTATAACTTAAAACTTTTCATAATTGTGAATTACTAATAAACTCTTTAGTCTACATTTTTTGTGGTGTCATGGTCGCAACAACTTGTGGTTTTATACATCTAAGTTTTGATGTCTATATAATTTATTTACCAGAAAAAAAATTATTTTATATATATATGTGTGTGTGTCTGTGTGTGTGTGTTTGTGTGTGTATGTGTGTTTATATATGTGTCATGACTGTTTCACTCAATATAAAAGCGAGCTTGACATCACAAGAATTTTTGTGTTTTAAAAAAAAAATATTTCCGCATAAAAAGTATAAAAATTCACTAACTTTAAAATAATATAATTTTTTTTCTATAAACGCTTTCATTTTCAAATTAAAAAAATATAAAAGAACTATCTTTCTTCTTTTAATAAATATTTACATTAGACGAAATAAAAATAAACATTGTTAAAATATTTTAAATGATTTGGGATCACTTTTGTGTTTTTATCGATTTTTACGAAAAACCTGTTTTAGGCTAACCTAAAACAGGTTTTTCGCTTTTTGTTTTTGTAACTTTTAAATGTAAAATATAATTTTTTTGTAACGATCACCAAATTAACAAATTTTCAATCCTTTATGCACACGAAAATACAAAAATTGTTATTTATACCTCTAACTATGTTACCAAATATGTCTTCAAACTTGGCTGGTTTACAGCATTTTTTCTATTTTTATGCGTATATTTTTGTTACATTTTAAAACAACCATGTGACCTTTAATATTTTACGAGTAAAAAAGTAGTGATTTGCTTTACTGACATAAATATTGCCTGTTTGAGTTAAGAATCAAGTTTAAATAAATTTATTTTTAAGTTAAAGTGGTCTTACAATGTGTATATTTAATAATAATTATCTAAAATATACTTTTTCAATTTTTTTTTGATAAAAAGTGACAACAAATTACTAAAATTTAGCCAAGCTCATCATTTAGCACGTTTTATCTAAAATCGAAGAAAGTTTTCAATCATTCATTTAATGGCATATGGTAAAACATTTTATTGGTGTTTATATTCTTTTTACAGAACAAAATTATCTCTAATATTAAAAAAATTTAAAAAGTTTTAGTAACACCTATTAAGTGCTTATTTTTTTTAAAAAAACAAGAAGCCGTAAAGCTCACTTTGAAACAGCTGTGGTGTGTGGTTTATATATAGATGTGTTTATATATATATATATATATATATATATATATATATATATATATATATATATATATATATTATATATATATATATATAGTTTTTCACCTAAAAGGACACTCTATTCCACATTAACCTTGTCTCTATTTCTCCCTCTAATATTTTTAGTGAGTAATAGATTACGTCCTAAAAAAAATATTATTCTTCCTCTAATATTTTTTAGTGAATAAATTGTGCTAAAAAAAAATTCACATACGCACCTTTTCCGTATATTTATACTTAGAGCTTAATATAAAAAAGATAAATCATTTAGTTCAAGTCAACCTGCTCAAACCCAAACCCTCTGTTGATTTATGCACACTCACTGTGGCTAGGCGTGTCAAATAAGTAGCTAGGCATGTCAAATAAATTAATTGATCTGTTTTTCTGCATAAAACAAAAGCAGAAAAAGTGAAGTACTTGATATAAGGATCTATAATATTAGATTTAGTTATTTTAATACAAAGTGATTGGGAACAAAATAAGGTAACAACGTAAAAATTATTCATATACTAATTTACAACAATTTGAATTGCGATTTACTAAAATTTAATAATAATAAATGGTATGAAGATTGATGATTTTTCTTCTTCGCCTTTGGAAAATGATAAACAAATTAAAGACTTTTAAGTTGATTATCAAAGCATTGTTTACCTGTTTAAATGAAATAAAATCATTATTGATAACACTGAACGCACGTTTAAATGTATTTTGTTAATTCATTTGAAAAATAAAAAATACAAAACAAAAATTAGTAATCAATATATTTAGTAATCTAAATTAGACACTGACTTTGTGCGAATGCTTTTGTAAAATTTCTCTAATATTTGATTGGAAGGCTGGAAATACTCTTTTTTTTAATTCAGTTTTATCAACAATGCTAAAAGATAAAAATTCACATTGACACAAAAAAATTAGGCATTTATTCTAAAAATATTTCTTGGCTTTTAGTGAATGATTAGGAGTAAGTTTCAGTAATGAAGCTACCCAATAATCATTTTTAACGATAGACATCAAAAGGTAACCCAAGCTGTCTATTAACACAAAACATCACAACAACATTACAGGGTGACAAACAATAACACCAGTAGTGTAAGCAGGATAATTGTTGTTTCAGATATATATTTAGAACCTGTTAAAGAATTTAACATAAGTATGTCTAAAAAATTTTGGGTATGAAAAAAACTTTTTTAAAACATTGTTCCCAAGCTCTAAAAACATCGATTTTTCACAAAGTATTTTAATTTGATAAATGTGAATACACTTAAGTTTGGTTGAAAGTGCTATCTGAAGCATCAAAATATCCTGCCTATGCTACTGAATACACATAGCATAAAATATTTGTATGTACACATAACACAAAATATTCAGGTTCTGCGTTTCCAGAATAGTTAAAAAAGATATACAATTTAGCTCAACACTTGTAACACTGCTTGGCACTAAACGCTGCCAAGTAACACCGCTTGGCATTAAGTGCCAAGTAACACCACTAGATAGTAACACCGCTTGGCTGGCAAGGATCACAATCTTGCACTACACGTTGCCAAGTAACACCACTTTTCACATGGAAACAATTTAATATAAACTTATATAAATTAAGCACATAAATAAAGATATATAAACGCATATAAACACATACATTTATATACACATAGCAAAAAAAAAAAAACATACAAAAAATATAAAACACATATAACACATAACATACTTGTAAAAATTATAAATTAAGAACATTTGTAAAGACAACATTTGTGTAATGTTTGTTAAATGACATACCTTGTAATGGATGTTTATCAACTTTGAAAAACAAACTATTAAACAATTTTTTTTTTTGAACATGCAACATATAATTGGCCGTGTGAAAAGCAAGGCTTTTTGAGATAAACACCAACTTTTTTAAATGTTTGACCTTGACTTTTATTTATGGTCATTGAGTATGCTAACCTAACTGGAAACTGACGACGTTTAAGTGTAAAAGGTAAATTTGCATCTGATGAAGCTAATTGAACTCAAGGAACAAATACCTTGTTACCAGCTGATACACCTGTTAAAACCTCACCATCAATGTAATTGTTGTGTAGTGCACACACCATTAAGTGGGTTCCATTACAAAGCCCACCTTTAAGATCTAAATTTCTAAGTAGCATTAAAACAGCACTAATTTTTAATTTAAGGTAATGAACAGGCATACTTCATAGAGTCAAACTACTTAAAAACTCGACTTGAAAGTTATTAATTTTATTATGATCAACAGTTTCAATGCTATCTGAACTTAAATATGTTTTCACACACCAGGTAAACGATGAAGGACTTCTTCATATATTGCCAAGGAATCAACATTTGTTTGCGTTAAAATAGCATGTTTTGCATAATCAGCTTCTTCTGCACCACCAAAAATCTTCTCCACAATAGATTCATTATCACTGAGAAAGCACTGCTCAGCTATTGTATTCCAAAGGTGTAAAAGATCATCCTAAAGTTAATATGATGGAAAACAGTAGCCTAATTTGTTTAGGCATCCAAGTTGCAACAGCTTCAGTTAATGTATTTCTCCACTCAATGTCATCTTGCAATAAACCTAAATAACATGCTTCACGAAATTTATTAAAAACAGTACCACGAACAGTACGCAAATCCTCAAAAAACTTTGCACCTTTTACATGCAAAAGTAACAAACTGAGAAAAAATAATTTGCAAAATGAACTGACTTTATACATTCGAACAATCACCTTATCACTACCTCTTTGTCTTACTTTCCACTTGCAATTTTTACCAAAAGCAAAGTGATATGGATTTTCAACATAATAATATTGACGTGCTTCATTACTTTCAGAATTTAACTTAAACCAAGCAGTTAGTCGCGTTGTGATGCACGATCTTTAGCTTCTTGTTCTTCTCCTTCATTTTTGAAACTCAATAACCTCTACATGACTTACAACTTTGCCTAAGACTCCATGTTTAAAAATATCTAAGAAGCATTTAAGTTTTATCTTAAATACACGACAAACTAAATCAGGCCTGTCAGTTGCGCTCTCACCTGGATTTAAATTTTCTGTTTTTTCTCTCCATTTTGGATTACAGGTAAAAGTAATAAAAAAATCTGGTTTGCCATATTTCTTTATAATTGCCATTGTATCTTCAAAATTTTCTTTTAAAGCTCTTGGACTTCCAACATATGAGGATGGTAGTATAACAACATGACCCAGTCTTACATTAAGGTTATTTGCAGTGTTATTTACATACTCATGTAATGCATTGTACTGTTCACTTTTAAGTTTGTTTTGGTTATTTCTGATAAAAGCAAGACGTTGTCCTTCAATCTTGACATATGCATCAACAGCGTACTGTTGAAAAAGCTTTTTACCATAAAATATAGGACTGAACGTTTGTCTAATAGAAATCCTATAATTGTAGCACTGAGACAAAGTGACTAAAAGAGCATTGTAAGATGTCTAAAATGAAACAAAATTAAATTCAATAGTAACACGAAAAAAAGTAAAAAAGGTAAAATAACACTGCAAACGAATTAAAAAATTAAAAAACCAATTAAAAACCAACTGAAAACCAAAATTAACTTGTGATTAAACAATCAAAATCTGTACGAAAAAAAAAATTACTTTATGTGTAACAGAAAAAATTACTTTATGTGTAACAGAAA